AATGGATCAGATCTTGGGAATTTTACTCAGTCACATTCCATCAGTGTGGCCATGTAATTTGGACATTTTGGAACCGAGTGGACCAACACAGACTCAAGGCAGATGTCATTAAGTTCTGCCTGTCCCCAAAACATCTGTGCATTTATCTGAATTTGGCTCCCTTGGCTGGCCTTGAAGGCCATCTTATCTGAATTTGCCTGGAGAACATGTGATCTGACGCTCATCACCCCCTCTCTGAGGAATTTCCAACTGATAAACAAGAAGAAACCAGCTGAATAAACATTGTGTCATCATTTCAGGACTCTTGGATTCTCAGACGTTATTCTTGGCCATTCCTCGACATATCTCGAGAATGTTTATGGATCTCACTGGAGGACATTGACTGATTATTCCATCCTTATCAGAACTCTTACAGTGACCTCGAGAGCATCTATGGACATGCTCACCGCTCTCGTCGTCTCCCCCCTCTGCAGAATGTCTACGTCACTGTGCTTGTTTGTGCGATGTGTTTTTTAATATTAGTTTTTCTTCTCAGACTAGAAGAAAAAGTCTGATAGCAATATTTTCGCCTCCAATTCCTTCATGTGTCCAGTTTCACTACTTTTTGTCTGTTTAAACAGATCTCACTTATAAATGAGTCTTCTAGGTTCAATGTGACTTATCTGTCTAAATAAAAGTTGAATGAATAAAAAAGGTACTACACACAAAACAATTTAACATTTCTTCTTAAATATGCCAATAATTACTATAGTAATTATTGTCAAATTTCAAACAATATTATTGTTTATCACAATAATTTCTGAGTCAATTAATCGCCCAGCAAAATTTATCGTGACAGGCCTACACTGGACCAATTAGGTTAACGGGCAACAGGCCAGTAAGGATGAGTGTAAGAAGAGCATTTTAGAGAGGCTGAATCTCTCAGAAGTAAAGATGGACAGAGGTCTGACTAAAATTAGTGGAACAATTTCATAATATTGGTCTTTTAGCATAATAATTTAGAATATCCCATTATGTACAATTCATAAAATCATTACAAAATTTTAGGAATCTGGAGAAATCTCTGAGCTTAAAGGGCAAGACTTGCAGTCAATACTGGCTAAAGTCCATGCTGTTTAATTTTTTATGTTCGCCTCAGCTTATTGATGATGGACCGTTTATGATTTTAGTATGAAACCCTGATATGAAAGGCGATGGGCGATATGCATTTCTCCAAAGAATGCTAAGCCTTTAATTGTCATGTTTCGTAACAATTTTAGAAAATGAAAACGGTAACATCTTACCAAAATCTTTTTTTTTTTTCTGAGCCCAAATGTGACTTTTTGAGCTTTTTGATGCTCCAAGCCTGCGTTTCCACTTCTACCTCCTTCACTTTGTTTGTTTTCCTCCTCCCGACTCAGATTCACCTGAACCGGTCCCTTCATTAAACTCTGCAGGGACCTGAGAATGACCCGTTCACTGGAATCAAGTGTGTTAAATAAACAAAAACAAGAAAATAACACAGGGCTGGGGGTGCCCCGATAACAAGTGAGACACTTGTCAACACTTACTCAGCATTAATCTGAAATATCTAGTATTTAACACGTTATGGCCTAAAAACATGGTACATTGGACTTTTACACTACTTAAAAGACATTCCTAAAGTAATACTTATTATTACAAAGCTGTCAAATTAATTGCCTGGATTGAGGAAAAAATGTGCACGTGTGTCTGTTAGCAAAACATCACAATAAAGCACTGGATAAATTTTTATGAAACTTTCAGAACATACACACCATATTTTATGCCGTACATGTTGCACCGCCCTATAAGTTGCATCAGTCCAAATTTGTCTAATAAAGTGGAAAAATCCATAAATAAGTGGCTTCACTGTATAAGTCACATCTATTATATGTCACCGCTGACCACCTGGAAATGTGGGCCGGTGTTGTGCCAAACATTGATTGGCTGCCAAATGGCGGCCGCGGGTGTGTGCACGGAAGGACTTTAACAAGAATTTAACAAGATTAACACTTAAAAACAATTGTTTGTTTGCTTGAAATTATAGTAAAGGTTTGTCTCAGTCTAAATTTTTCTTAATAAATGCACTTTGACAGTCAAATCAGCTGCATTTTAAAAAGTCGATACACAGAAACATGAACGTGCAGAGGGCGACTCGCTGTGCTTTTCTTTTAAATTTAACAAGATAACCACCTAAAACAATTATTTGTTCAGCTTTATAGTAAAGGTGTGTCTCACTTGAACTTTTACTTAATAAATGCACTTCAATGGTCAAATCAGCTGCATTTTGCCAGGGCATCACAGCGAAATGCAGCTGATTTGACGGTTGCTTCAGGCAGACGACGTTGTCAGACTACGGTAAGTCGATTGATTCATTAATAGCCACTTTTACCGATCACATGATGCAATGGCATGGCATACAACTCGAGTGCCATCTAGAGGCTGAAAATGGTAGTGTTCAATATTTTCAGTCGGAATGAATGAAAACAATCATCTCAGTCAAAAATGAATTTATAAATATGGGAAAAAAATCCATAAATGCGTCGCTTCGGCGTATAAAGCCTCCAGTATACTGCCACGTACGTACGCATGAACGGACGTACGCATGTACTGTACGCATGTACTGTACGCAGAGGGTTCAGTCTTCAGACTCCAGCGTACACCCTGAGCAGCTGCAGAGCAGCTTCACAGACAAGGGGCGTTTACCTTCGGGACAAATTGAGGTCGCCGATTGGTCATTTGCTGACACGCCTACTGGATTGATTGACAGGTCGGAAAAAAGAAAAAAAGCGAGCGCTGGCAGCCTCAGCCGCAGCGGTGTTCTGTGTTTATATGTTGTTAATAAAAAGATCTAAAAAATAAATAAAAACAGGGAGCGCTGGCTCTGCAGCCCACACATCAGACCAGCCCACCAGGAAATCTCCAGACCCTCCCGCAGCCACGCTGGACCTGAGTTTAATTCGCTCTTGACAAATTCCTTCTTTTCTCACCATTTCAGTCATGGCATCAATGGAGGAGGAAGAGATCACTGCCTCTTAGCAAAAAAAAACAAAAGAAAAGGCCAGATCAGGGATGAACAAGGGGAATTTAATACAATTGTGTCGCATAAAAAACAGTCCGTTGCTGGGCAGTTTATTGTGCGACACCGCGTATGCGGTCGTAAAAATTTGAGCTTTGCACGGACATGCCCTGGGGGGTACGCTCGTACCTCTGCATACGTACGTGCGTAACTCTGTGTATGGATGTACGCAGCAGTATACTGGGGGCTTAAGTCGCAGGGCATGTAAATTGTGCAAAAAAAGTGCGACTTATAGGGCGAAAAATACGGTAACCACTAGATGTACAGCTACTGTATTTTTCTGACTATAAGGTGCAATATCAATGAACGGGTCAGTTTTCATACATAAGGCGCATTAACCGAAACAAAACAAGTCAGATAAGTCGAACTTTATTCAACTCATTCACAATAACCACATAAAATCAGTTCAAGGTCAGTACGGTAAGCACAACCAGAATTAATGCATAAGGCGCACTGGATTGTAAGGTTCATTGTCAATTTTTGAGAAAATTAAAGGATTTTAAGCGCGCCTTATTGTCTGAAAAATACGGTACAACTGAATAACTTTTGGAGTCAGTCCAGTTCAAGATGATCACCTCAGCAAAGAAATATTAGCAAACACAATACTGAGCTAAAATTTGATGTGGTAGCAGCTAACACAAAGTGTGCACTACTTCTCAACATCACATAGGACCGAATATAAAGTTAATAAGGGTTTGAGCTAATTGGCTCTAAATTTGTCCCTTCTCAGCATATGAAGATCTCTGTTTACAACTCTGGCATGAAAGACGGCAGACAATGTGTATTCTTTAAGGACTGCTGGGCCTTTAATTAGCTACTTACTGAATGATGGAACAATAAGATATACTTATTTTTATTATACGACACTCTGACCAGTGTATTTAAGGCTCTGTAACTATCATAAGGGATTTAAAGTACTAATTATCATCAATGGTATTGCTTCTGAAAACCAACTTTCAGTCCTGATTTACAACAACTCAAACAGAAGAATCAGAACACTCAGCACCCTCGTTTTTTGTCACCCCTACAGAAAATAGTGGTGTTGGTACGAACTTCCTGTAGGCAAAAAATGGGGCAGTTGTACAACATGTGGAAATTATATGAAGAAGGCTGGAAGGAAGGTTTAAAGTTTACCAAAAACACGTATCCAAAGCAAACTGCTAAGAAAACACAGAATGTCTCAGTAAAACTAGGAGAAAGCATGAAGATGTGAAACTGAATCTAAAGAGCTTCTTTGAGGAGACCTAAAATGTGCATATCAGTTACATCATGTGTCAAATTCAAGGTCCAGCATTTTATCTGGCCCCCCAAGATGATATTTTAAACATAAAATGTTTTTATCACTTTGGTTTTGCTTAATAAATTTATAAATGCTTCATTTAGTGCAGATTTTTCATGCCAGTTGGCTAACTGAAGCTTTTATGAAGCAAAACGGTTGAGTTTTTCAGTAATCTGATTCTGATGTGGAAAGAGCAACAGAGTGTCCAATAAAACAAACTTTTTGTTCAGGAACCTGCAAGCAAGAAAAGATGTCGTGTATCTGACTTGAGTTCATGCATCGACTGAAACTGACCCGTGACTTGGATGAAAATTTCACTTTTGGCTCCTTTTGCAGCTTGAGTTTGAGACCGCCACCAGTTTGACCTGGGAGGTTTTTACTTTAAAGAATTGTGAAAATCTTGTAATTCCCAAGATGTTTTGACTTGGCTCTAAAGGGTCTGAAACCTTGTGCAAATGACCATTTTTTTATGTTTCTGATAAATTACTGACACTGCCAAGTTGTTCTTGTTTGGTCGTTGTGAGGAATTTTGCATAGATCAATAAAAAAAAAAAAAAACTGGTCTGAAAAAACACAGCAAAAACAAAAAAGAAAGTCGATTTCCATTATTAACTTCCGTGATGCTCTTTATTTATGCGACAGAATCCAGATCCATCCAGCTGTTCTGAGGAGATGCATGAGAAAGAGGGACGAGGGGACAACGAGCAGGACCTGAGCCCCGAAGAGTTGCGGGTCCTGGAGAGGAAGCTGAAGAAGATTCGGAAAAAAGAGGAGAAGAAGAGGCTTCGAGAAGAAGGACTGACTCTTCCAAAAAAACAGGCCGTTGGACCAAGTGCATCAGAACAGGCCTTGGATTATCTCACATGGTGAGAAACACTAAGGTTTGGTACAGAACGTGAGACAAAATGCGTTTCAGCTTTTCTCATGCTTATCTGTACAACTAATAAATATAGTTGGATAATCTAGCCTTTCCAACCTTTAACAACCATTTACTGAATTTTATTATTATTTGCCCTTCTAATGCTGCTGTGCATGAGAGAAACCGATTATAGAGCAACTCAGACATTTTTTGTGCAGCATTGTTTGCGTACATCACTGTTTAGGCCACACTTTTGCTCCAGTTCTTCACAACAACTCACACTGGTTTGTCACTGCAGCTGGGCTGAAAATCGTTCAGCGTGGAAGTTCCAGAAGACCAGGCAGACGTGGCTACTGCAGCACATGTTCGACTCCGAAAAGGTATGGTTAACGTGGAAACTCACCATGCTCTGGGTGTATCCAGCTGAAGGTGTAAGAGCTACTTATTGAAATGCTTCTGTCGTTCACTAACTACAGTAGTCCCTCGTTTATCTCAGGGGATCTGTACCCTGAAGCCCCGCGATAAGTGAAAAACAATAGTAGTACAAGTAGTAGTTCATTTTAGTATATATATATATATATATATATATATATATATATATATAAAGGCATTTTAAACCCTTCCCACACTCTTGCAATATTCAACAATGTTTCTAAACTGTAAACGCTCTAAAAGAGCACAGCATGTCATGATCACAGCTCCCTACCTCGTCTGCTCTTTGCCACCTGCCAGCGTTCTTGGCCACGCCCACTTCTCCGTTCGCAGCTGATCAGCTGCAGCAGGAAGTTTATCCTGCAGTGTTGGGCTGCACAAATGTGTAGCAGGTGCTAAATCATTTAAAATACCAGTACCTGCGGGCATTCTCCCTGTGTTGCAAATGCCTGTCCCCATGAGGGGTGGGGCGCTGGGAGCCAAGAGCACCCAGCCTTGTCAAAAGTAAACAGTGGCGGGAAGCTGCCGAGAGATGACAGGAAGACTTTCAAAATAAAATAAAAAAATAATTAAATTTTGAAAAAATAATGCGTAAAGATGCTCCTGCATATAAACCGCGGGGTACAAAGCGTGAGACAAAAGTAGCGGCTTATACACTGACAATTACGGTAATTTATTTTAAATAAAATTTCCATCGCGACCTGACTTTGGAATAAGCGTAAGAGGATGGGTGGATGGATAAAAATTCCATGTCGATCGTGCGGCTCATCCATCAATCAGCCAATTGTCATGCCCAATCTTATTTTTGGAAAAACCGCGATAAAGCGGGTCTGCGATAAACAAAACACGAAGTAGTGAGGGACTACTGTATATATTTTATCCCGAAGCTAAAAAAAAAAAAAAAAGACCTTTGTAATTAAAGTTTTTATCATTCCTCGAAAGATTGCATATCTTGCTGCTTTTTATGCACATTTTTGACTTGGCTCTTCTTATATTCAGGAGTTGTAGCTTTTTTTGGTCAAACCTTCAAAGAAAAATGTGCGATCTCGTGATGTCACACTGAAAGTATAATTTCTGCACGACTCTGTTACTACTCCCAAGTTTTTACTCTTATAGTCATCCGATATCTATAAAATTTAGCTGTTTATTTTGAATTTGACTATAAAAACAAACTGCATCCAGTTATAACTTTCTGAAAATGTCATTTGTCCAGTGGTGCATGAAATTTTTGCTAACAGAGTTCCATCCATCCATCTTTTACATCTTTTACCCACTTCTTCCTATTTGAGTCGCAGCGGTGCCAACAGTTGAATCCACCCAAAAAACTTTAAACATTTTTCACTAATTTTTAGCACTCAGAATATATATTGTGAACGACTCTCAGCTACCACCACGCCAAACTGTAGGTTGATGTCTGTATTGAGTGAAGTACATCCGTGGCTGTGTTTAAAGCTCATTTGGTTGTGGCGTCCATCTTGGATTGACTCCAAAAGTTAAATCCGATGATGCACGTACAATCTGTCCAGTGGTTCATGAGATTTTTTGCTGAAAGAGTTGACTCAGTAGATAACGGAGTTTGAAACTGAACACGCAGAATGACCTCAGGATACAGTATGTGTTGGGGATGACTCTCAGCTACTACCACACCAAACTGTAGGCCAATATCAGTCAAACTGACTGAAATATAGCGGTTTGTTTTTCCCACAGTTTGTTAGCAGTAGCAGCCATTTTAAATCAAGATGACTTTAAATCAGTTGAATACATCAATTATTTTCTGCAAGTTTTATTAAAATCCATCCAGTTTGTGAGATGTTTTGCTAACAGACGTGTACTTGTTCACAAACACCTTCAACAGCAGGTGATGATAATATTGTTGTTTTTGTCCCCTCAGGTTTCAGACGATAAGTTCTCGGTGATGCTTCAGTATCTGGAGGGACTTTGTGGACAAGCGAAGGACACGACGGTGCAGAAAGCTGTATCTGTGGTGGAAGACTCGGGACAAGCGACGGAGGACACAGAAGTCCAGCAGAGGGCGCAAAGAGCCAGAGAAGTCATCCAGCTCCTGTCCTGACCCCACAGCACCTAAAGGACTAAATCAGTCAAACAGAATAAAAACAAATCTATGACTTGGAATAAACTGTTGATTTCTACCATTTGTAAAGAGTTTTCATGCTGTTTTGTTTTCTGTGGATTGTTTGGTTGTGATCAATCAATATAACGATCAGAGTTAAACGCGTTTCATTTCATTACCGCTTCTGTTTGGAATAGTAATAGTTCCTAATCAAATGCTCAATTTTTCCATTGAAGACACATTTTTCAGGAGTGGTTGAAACTCCTCGAGGTGAAACAAAAAAGCGAAGCTATTTGTGGAGTTAAAAAAAAAAGTCTCAGGAATGTTTAAAGTCACTTCATGTTGATGCATGTCGAGGCTCATCTCCGGCACAAACGCCTTCTCTGACAGAGACAACCACGAGAGCACGTTTTGTAATGAAACTGAACACAAACTCGTTGGTTTTCATGCACGGTTGCTGTAAATTTTAGGTTTTTTTATATATATATTCATTTTGAGCTAAATTCAATTGCAGCAATTTGCTCTTTTTTTTTTTTTTTTGCAACTGAAATGTGTCATCTCAAAAAACCAAGCTGCTGGCTCATTTCTCGTTCACAACTACACTTCCTTTTGAGGCGACCGACTTTACAGCAGTTGTTTAACGACATCAGCCACATCAAGTGCTTCTCGTGCGTGTGGACTGCAATGTTTTTAACTTCATACACTTGGGATTTATTTCAGAGATAGTCATTTCCATCAGCTCTTCAGAAAAACAACGAGACATTCCTAAGATTAGCGTGTTGACAGTTTCTGGACTTCAAGTGGTGAAAAGAAGGGTTAAAAAAGAAATATGTGTTGAGGCTGGTGACTTCCTTGATGAAAGTAGCCAAACTCATCAAAAGCCTAGTGTTTAAAGAAATTGAATTATGAGTCATTATTAAATTTATTTTTTATTTTTTGTTTTGTTTTTTATACGAGGAAGTGCTTTGTGTTGTACTTCGTTAAATGAGATTTAGAGGAAATGTGCTCATCTGCGCATTTAGTTCAGTTTAGGGGTGTTTTACAGTTTAATTTATTTTTCATTCAGTACTGTGCATAACTTCAGCACCTCCATATTGTCATATTTTTTTAAAAATGCATGGACTTTATAACAATCTCCATTTGTTTCATAAATCCCACTTTATACACTTCAGCAGTTATCAGTCGGGTGTAAAAGGGGTCCAGAATATACAAACCGGATTCCAAAAAAGTTGGGACACTAAACAAATTGTGAATAAAAACTGAATGCAATGATGTGGAGATGGCAAATGTCAATATTTTATTCATAATATAACATAGATGACAGATCAAAAGTTTAATCTGAGTAAATGTAACATTTAAAAAAAAAAACAATATGTTGATTCAAAATTTCAGTGTCAACAAATCCCAAAAAAGTTGGGACAAGTAGCAATAAGTGGCTGGAAACAGGAAACTGAGCATATAATGAACAGCTGGAAGACCAATTAACACTAATGAGGTCAATTGACAACATGATTGGGTATAAAAAGAGCTTCTCAGAGTGTCAGTGTCTCTCAGAAGACAAGATGGTAAGAGGATCACCAATTCCAACATTGTTGCACAGAAAGATAGTGCAGCAATACCAGAATGGTGTTACCCAGCGTAAAATAGCAAAGACTTTTAAGTTATCATCATCAACCGTGCATAACATCATCAAAAGATTCAGAGAATCTGGAACAATCGCTGTGCGTAAGGGTCAAGGCCGTAAAACTTTACTGGATGCTCGTGATCTCCGGGCCCTTAAACGTCACTGCACCTCAAACAGGAATGCCTCTGTCAAGGAAATAACAGAATGGGCTCAGGAATACTTCCAGAAAGCATTGCCAGTGAACACAATCCACCGTGCCATCCGCCGTTGCCAGCTGAAACTCTACAGTGCAAAGAGGAAGCCATTTCTAAGCAAGCTCCACAAGCTCAGACGTTTGCACTGGGCCAGGGGTCATTTAAAATGGAGTGTGGCAAAATGGAAGACTGTTCTGTGGTCAGATGAGTCACGATTTGAAGTTCTTTATGGAACACTGGGACACCATGTCATCCGGACCAGAGAGGACAAGGATAGCCCAAGTTGTTATCAACGCTCCGTTCAGAAGCCTGTATCACTGATGGTATGGGGTTGCATGAGCGCTTGTGGCATGGGCAGCTTGCATGTCTGGAAAGGCACCATTAATGTAGAGAACTATGTTCAGGTTCTAGAACAACATATGCTCCCATCTAGACGTCATCTCTTTCAGGGAAGACCCTGCATTTTTCAACACGATAATGCCACACCACATTCTGCAGCAATCACAACATCATGGCTACGTAGGAGAAGGATCCGGGTACTGAAATGGCCAGCATGCAGTCCAGATCTTTCACTATAGAGAACATTTGGTGCATCATAAAGAGGAAGGTGCGACAAAGAAGGCCCAAGACGATTGAACAGTTAGAGGCCTGTATTAGACATGAATGGGAGAGCATTCCTATTTCTAAACTTGAGAAACTGGTCTCCTCTGTCCCCAGACGTCTGTTGAGTGTTGTAAGAAGAAGATAACACACAGTGGTAAAAATGGACTTGTCCCAACTTTTTTGGGGATTTGTTGACGCCATGAAATTTGGAAACAACAGATTTTGCCCTTAAAATGATACATTCTCTCAGTTTAAACTTTTGATCTGTGATTTGTGTTCTATTCTCAATAAAATATTAGATGTTGGCACCTCCACATCATTGCATTCAGTTTTTATTCACAATTTGTTTAGTGTCCCAACTTTTTTGGAATCTGGTTTGTATTTCAAATGTTTATTTTTTTAATGTTGATGATTATAACTGACAACTAATGAAAAAACAGGATCTCAGAAAATTAGAATAAACTTAAGACCAATAAAAAAAAGGATTTTTAGAAATGTTGGCCAACATTGGCCAAAGTACATGAAAAGTATGAGCATGTACAGCACTCAGTACTTAGTTGTTGCTCCTTTTGCCTGGATTACTGCAGCAATGCGGCGTGGCATGGAGTCGATCAGTCTGTGGCACTGCTCAGGTTGCTCTGATAGTGGCCTTCACTACTACTTCACTACACTTCACTACACTGCTACGCCGATGACTGTCAGATCTACCTGCCACTGAAACCAGCCAGTGCTTGTTCCGTCCACCCTCTCCTCAAATGTCTGGACGACATTAAGACATGGATGGCTTCAAATTTTCTAAGTTTTAACGACCAGAAGACTGAAGTCATTGTCTTTAGCCCTAGCTCAGCTGCCGCCTCTTATCCTGTGAACCTGGACTCCCTTCAGCCTTATCTGAAGCACTCTGTTAAAAACCTTGGAGTGGTTTTTGACTCGGATTTTAAATTCGACAAACAGATCAGTTCGGTTCTGCAGAGAAGCTTCTTCCAACTGCGGCAGGTAGCTAAGCTCATGCCAGTGCTGTCTAGACCCGACCTTGAGACACTAGTCCATGCATTCATCACAACCCGCCTGGACTATTGTAATTCACTGTATGCTGGGGTCAGCCAGGCCTCTATCTCACGGCTACAGCTTGTCCAGAATGCTGCAGCTCGGCTTTTAACCGGTACACCGAGGTATGAGCACATCACACCAGTTCTGTCCTCCCTACACTGGCTTCCTGTGAGAACTAGGATTGATTTCAAAATTCTCCTCCTGACCTAAAAGTACCTAAATGGCCTCGCACCCATCTACCTCTCTGAGCTACTGGAACTATATGTTCCCTCTCGGGCTCTGAGATCATTCGATCAGCTGCTTTTGGTTGTTCCAAAAACACGACTGAAGCTCCGAGGAGATCGGGCGTTTTCTGTCATGGGTCCCAAACTGTGGAACAACCTACCCCCCAACATTAGGCATGCTACCTCCCTTCCTGTGTTCAAATCACTGCTAAAAACATATCTGTTCTCTCTGGCGTTTCATACTGTGTGAGTTGATTTAGTATATCTTGTTCCATATCTTCATTTTAATGCTGTTGTTTTAATTTTTCAAGGTATATTCTTACTGCTTTTTATTTCTTAGTGTTACCCTTAGTGTTAAGCACTTTGATAACAGTCTATTTGTTTTAAATTGTGCTCTATAAATAAATATGACTTGACTTCAGCTCTTCTGAATTGTTGGGTCTGGTGTATCGCATCTTCCTCTTCACAATACCCCATAGATTTTCTATAGGTTTAAGGTCAGGCGAGTTTGCTGACCAATTAAGAGCATGGATACCCTGGTCCTTAAACCAGATACTGGTAGCTTTAGCAATGTGTGCAGGTACCAAGTCCTGTTGGAAAATGAAATCTGCATCTCTATAAAGTTGGTCAGCAGCAGGAAGCATGAAGTACTCTAAAACTTCCTCGTAGACGGTTGCGTTGACCTTGGACCTCAGAAAACACAGTGGACCAACACCAGCAGATGACTTGCACCCCAAACCGTCAATGACTGTAGAAACTTGACACTGGACCTCAAGCAACGTGGATTCTGTGCCTCCTCTCTTCCTCCAGACTCTGGGAACTTGATTTCCAAAGGAAATGCAAAATTTACTTTTGTAAGAGAACATAACTTTGGACCACTCAGCAGCAGTCCCAGGCGAGATGCGTCTGACGTCGTCTCTTGTCTAAGAGTGGCTTAACACAAGGAATACAACAGCTGAAACCCATGTCTTGCATACGTCCACGCGTGGTGGTTCTTGAAGCACTGACTCCAGCTGCAGTCCACTCTTTGGAAATCTCCACCACATTTTGGAATGGGTTTTGTTTTACCATCCTCTCCAGGGTGCGGTTATCTCTGTTGCTTGTACACTTTTTCCTACCACATTGCTTCCATCCCTTCACCTCTATTAATGTGCTTGGACACAGAGCTCTGTGAACAGCCAGCCTCTTTAGCAATGACCTTTTGTGTCTTGGCTTCCTTGTGCAAGGTGTCACTGGTCATCTTTTGGACAACTGTCAAGTCAGCAGTCTTCCCAATGATTGTGTAGCCTACAAAACTAGACTGAGAGACCATTTAAAGGCCTTTGCAAGTGTTTTGAGTTAATTAGCTGATTAGAGTGTGGCACCAGGTGTCTTCAATATTGAACCTTTTCACAATATTCTAATTTTCTGAGATACTGAATTTGGGGTTTTCATTAGTTGTCACTTATAATCATCAACATTAAAAGAAATAAACATTTGAAATCTATCCGTCTGCATGTAATGAATGCATATAATATACAAGTTTCACTTTTTTGAATGGAATTACTGAAAAAAAATCAGCTTTTTCGTGATATTCTAATTTTATGACCAACACCTGTATTACATATATAGTCTGACATGGCAATAAAATTAAATCCTTTTAAGATATTCACATACAGATGCTCAGCAGGTTTAAGTATGAGCACTTTTTAGTGAGTGAAACTCAAAATACTAAACTATAATTGACCTTAAAGTTTAGTTCAAATACAAGTTTAAGTTTGAAAAGTATTTATTTTGAGAAAACCATATATCTGAAAAAAAAAAAAAAGTTTGGGGGTGATTTCTGATCTTGATAATTTATTTCTAATTGTGTGACACAGTCTGCGTGAGCTGCATGTTTTGAATTTGAGCTTCAACGCTTTAATTAGTTGTGCGCCTAATAATCAAATGAAATGAATAATTCTCTATTTTTTCATAGCTACGTGTCAGAAAAGTCATTTTATTTTAGTATTCAGTGACTCAGAACAAGTTTAGGTTGACTTCCTGTGTGAACTATTTTCTCACAACTTAAAAAAAAGGGGTTGCCATCCTGATGAAACAGGACATTCTTAGGCTGCAAAAACAAATTCTGTCAAAAAAGATAGGAAGAACATGAATCAATAAATTAATACCTAATTTAAAAAATGTGCAGCCATCATAAAAGGTCTGCTGTCCACAGTGGACAACCATGATCTTTTATGACAAGGTCCTTTCTGAATTATGAAATGAAAACTCTTCAAAGTGTACCAACAAACAATTTGACCAATTTGACAAATTTCATCACAAATTTAAACCATTGACTCACCCAAAGATCAGAAAGATCAGACCATTCTTGAACAAACTATATTTTGGAAGATTAAAGTAATAAACTGTACAACTATGAAAAGTAATATCTTCTAAAATATCCTTCCTTGGTCCAGCAATGTTCAGTCAGGTCATCTGGATGGTTTCTTTTTTTGTTGAGCCGTTTCGTCCTTCGTCCAAAGGACTTCTTCAGTCCGAGGAGCCACAAACAAACTAGAGTCCCACAAGCAACAACTCTCATAGTGGAAAAACAGTTTGCTGGTGACTGAACATTGTTGGATTTGCACCTGGATTATTGAGCATGAACTTTGGTGTTTTGAACCATTTTGGCATGGCTGCCTTAGAGGAGTTGATGGGGGAAAGGGCGGGCCCCAGAAACCATCTTATAACCAGCAAACTGTTTTTCCACTATGGGAGTTGGTGCTTGTGGGACTCCAGTTTGTTTGTGGCTCCTCGGACTGAAGAAGTCCTTTGGATGAAGGACGAAACATCTCAGCAAAAAAAGAAACCGTCCAGATGACCTGACTGAACATTGTTGGATTTGTACCTGATTATTGAGCATGAACTTTCATATCATGCCTTGGTGCACAAAAAAAGAAAGTTGGTGCAGGTTTGTGTTTTTATCAGCAATACTATTTGATCTTTACCATTAGGTCCATTGTTTTTGCTATTGTTGGATGCAACTGGGACCCTGTGTACATAATTTCATACCATCTCATGTATCACATGTGGTGAAATGACAATAAACCTACTTGAACTTGAACATTACCTCAGAGGTCTGTTAAGATTCCTACATTCCACTCCGGAGTTCACATCAAATGGATCTGTGAACAGAACACAACTTTCACTGAGACAATACTCTATTAACACAAGATAAATCCCAACAACTACTAAACCCATGAAGACACTCCTGTCAGTTTTAATTCATAGTTTCAAATTGATTGGTGTTGTACAGGACCATGGGAAAACTTGTTGTGAAATGGAATATTAAAAATATCCTGATGCATGCTCAACTTATCAGCATTTGACAATGTTCAGTTAGGTCATTTGGACAGGTTCTTTTATTTTGCTGAGACGTTTCGTCCTTCATCCAAAGGACTTCTTCAGTCCTAGGAGCCACAAACAAACTGGAGTCCCACAAGCACCATAGTGGAAAAAAAAAAAAAAAGTTTTCTGATGATAAGATGGTTATCACCAGAAATAGATAACTGCTGGATAGCAGTTTTTTTTTTTCCACTATGGGAGTTGGTGCTTGTGGGACTCCAGTTTGTTTGTGGCTCCTCAGACTGAAGAAGTCTTTTGGATAAAGGACAAAACGTCTCAGCAATAAAAGAAAAAAAGAATTATGACCTGACTGAACATTGTTGGATTTGTACCTGGATTATTGAGCATGAACTTTGGTGTTATCAGCGTTTGCAGAATAGGCATTTTGGTGCCACTGCTTATAACAAACTTATCACGCTTCAAAAACTTTCATATCAAGTCAGTCGAATAAAAAAACGGGAAAGAATTATTATATCTTTCTTGAGTTTTCCTAAAATGTGATTAAATGTGATCCTTTCATGGTAAAGATGAGACATTCTATAGTAAAGATAGCGAGAAACAAAAACAAAGTCCAACTGAAACTCGTGAAATTCATGCGAGGCAGAATAAATACCAAGCCACGCCCCATTCCACAGCTACACAAACTATAACGACAAACTGGATCATTTAACCACTATTTTACCAAACTCCTCCTCTTCTGGTTTTGACGTCAGATACTCCTTCTCTACAGACAGCAGCTCTTCCTCTGACTGACAGGTGGCATAGCGGTCAAGCAGAACTCTATTGAGTTCGATGAATACGCGTCCCCATTTGAATTTCTTCAACAGGAGCACAGCCAGTTCTTCAAAACCTGAAATATCACATTGATCACTTACAGGTGGGGCTTATTTGTCCAAAGTACACTAGAGCAAATTATTAGAGAATAACTGGAGCAGAACCCTCACCAACAATACAGAAGGTGGCAGCGAAAGCCTCAACACAAGATAACTTGCAGGGTTTGCCATAGTTGACAGGGTTTGCAGCGACTAGGTATGGCAGTAGTCTGGGATGACTTCCAACCATCTTACTGAAGGGTGTCTCCTCCAGTTTGGCCCAAGAACAGTCAATCACTGCTAACCCATTCTGAGCCACAATTTCTCTGTGTATGAAAGCACATACATGGCTTTATATATCTAACAAATTCAAACTGAATGAATAAAGGACACAAGTGTTGTAATTTTGGTATAGCTGTGGTAAAATCTACTTTTTAAATGGCTGGTAATCAGGTATAACACATTTACACATCCTTGAACAATCATCACTATGAGATATAAAACTGCACATTGTATTGGAAAGCCTAGTGCCCTTGATGTGTGCAGAATAAAAGAAGAAACAACAAACCTGTCTGCTGGAGTCACATACTTTGTGCCCATTGGACTCAGTATGAGACCGTTGAATCTCTGGTTGATGCGCAGGTTTCGCACAAAGCCCTTCCGCACAAGCTTTCTGCCAGTACATCGTTTCGGATCACAGTGACCCAACTCCCACATGGCAAGTGGACAAGGCAGTTTCACCTGCGGGGCCTCTGCTCCCTCCTCTAAGTGAAGACTTGCTGAGAAATGCAATGATCACACAGAACACACAGTAAATTATCTCTTTTATTCCCTCTTTTATAGCGCTTCAGATCTTTGTTGCTCACTTCCAAAATGCGAAAATAGACAATAATGGTTTTGTCTGTGTTTGACCATCACGTCAAACCGCTGGACAAAGGCTTATTAAACTTTCAGAAAGTAACGACTGGGTGCACATCTAAAACTGATTAATTAAGTCACCCCACTTGAAGAAGGCACAACTGACCTCTGAAAACATAAAAATGGCTCAGGTTTAGTCATTTTTGCAGATGGTGAGCTAAAATTTAGTGTGGTGGTAGCTGTGTGATGACATAACAGACCAAAATAGCTATAACTGTGTCCCTTCTCATCATATGATTATCTTAACTTAAAATTCTGGTATACAACGTGGCAGGCCGTATGCATTAAATAACTCTGGACCTTTCATTAAATTGAACAACACCCTGTTAATTACTCTGTACTAACTCAGAAAACAGCACATGGAGTGTGGTTGCATAATCAGAATGTCATAGTTTGAAAAGAATTGTCATTAAACACTCTGTCATAACTTTATAGAAGACACAGATATTGACTTAAGTGTTGTGGGGACTCATGCGTCATGGGTATGATACATGTGAATTGTTGACATGAGACAACAACTGAAACATATTTTAATATGAAAACAAAATTACCTTCAAAAGTGGCGTGCATTTCTTCTGTAAAGGTCTCTAACGATTTCCCCTTCATTTTATGCCGTTTATCTTTACCCCTATTGTCAGGACGGACAAACTTGCCTTGTTTCTTTCGTCCCATGATGCAATCTGTCAGATGAGATTTAAACCTAGCTAGCTGCTTTGCTCAAACTTTAGTCGTCTCACGGACGGTGGCTATTTAAGTGTTTTATAAATGCTTAAGTAATTTACGACCAAAATATTTAATCTTAATTTAACTAATAGCTGCCCTTAGTTTATTTTTCACTTATGTAAAATGCGTAGACGTCTATTAGCTTAGCTTGTTGTCGAAGGAAACACGAAACACGTTTAACTCTACGTAGGACATAAGCGCATGCGCAAAGTTTGTTTTCGTCACGTGACCAATCACTTGACAGGCACGATTCAACAGCGGAAATGCAGCGAGGAAGTCTTGTTTGATTTTCAAATAAACCATGTTCCCTTTATATAGCAAATCATTTCATTTTATTGGAGTTTTGGCAATTATTTTGTCGTTCTACGGTAAGTACTTTTATTGCTACAGTTTATTATTGTAAAACAAATACAAACTATGCGCGCCATGTTGTTGTGTGCTGCTGTCTTAATTGACTGATTGAACTCGTTTTTTCTTTATTTTTTTCCAGTCAGCCATGCATTCGCTGGTAAAATGAAGATAGTTGAGGAGCCAAACACATTTGGGTCGGTGAAGCAAACGCATCTGGGTTATACTGTGACCCTTGCGGACTTACTTCTTTCTCATCATTGTTTTTTCTTATTATTATTTTTAAATCTAGGTTGAATAATCCTTTTATGGCTCAGGGAAGCAGATTACAACCCAAAGTCACCCCATCACCAGTTTCTGGTAAAATGATTCAGCATTATTTTAAGTCAATGTTTTATTTTAGCAATATTTTAAACCACATAGAGATCAAAAGATTACATGTCAAATGTTGAGTGAATTTGTTTGTCAATCACTGGAAATAATCCATAACTAATGTTGTTCTGAAGGTCCAGCACACCTTCATCGTCTTGCTGGAAAATGCTATAGCCTCATCGAGTCAACGTACGTATGTAAAACATCATGCAGTTTGATAATGCCTGTTATAGTTTCTTTTTTCTATTAACTTTTATGTCATCCCGATGAGCTGAAAAAAAAAGACTATCAGTGTAACCGGTTGTTTTTCAGGTATAAATATGAATTCTGTCCGTTTCATAACGTAACTCAGCATGAGCAGTCATTCAGGTGGAACGCCTACAGTGGAATATTGGGGTAAGATGCAACACTGCAGCTCACCGTTATAATTGCAAATATAAATGTTTGAGTTGTAGTGAGGTACCCAAGGGTCAGACCTAAATCTACGTGTGTCCCTGATAGGATCTGGCAGGAATGGGAAATGGCGAATAACACCTTCACAGGCATGTGGATGAGAGACGGTGATACTTGTGGAACCAGAAACCGAGAAACAAAGGTGTCTGAAACTCACTTATGACACACATTCCTAGTCATTTAATAGTTTCTAAAAGGATATGTGCTTTGGGGCAGGGGGTTCTTTTTAAGTGTGGCTTTATGTTTCTATGATCAAACAATGCTGCTTTGCATTCTGCCATTTTTGATCCACAACTAACTCATTCTTGAAGTGACTCGACTTAAAACAGATGGTTCTGCTGGAGGTTTCTTCCTGTTAAAAGGGAGTTTTTCCTTTCCACTGTTGCCTTTGTGCTTGCTCAGGATGGGTTTCTGTTCAGTGCCCTGAGACAACTTCTGTTGTGATTTGGCATTATATAAATAAACTGAATTGAATTAAACTGAGCTGTTCAGATATTGGGGATAAAAAAGCATGAATAAAAAGTATGTTAATTTTAAACCTTGAAACTTGCGAACTAATTATCCCACAATGTAAATTTTTGGTAGTTCAGATCTTTCTAAGTGGGGTTCTGTGAAATCAGTCTTACTATCTGTAGATGGCTTGCTGACCATCCTCAGTTTGGAGTACCGTTAATAGAATTTAATTAAACGTATTGACAAGCTAATTGCTAGTCTGAGTGATGCCAAGACCAAAGTGGTGACTTGAAAACTTCAGTCTCCAGAAGTTCATAGCGTTGGTCTTGACTTCATTCAGAGTAGCAATTAGCTTGTCAACACTGAAAATCAAACTATTTGTTCAAACTGAGGTTATTCAAAGCTAACAGGTAAGATGTTAACTGTTCATTGCCTTTCTACACCTTAAATTTCAAATCCATCATCACATCATCATCCTTTTACATGTATATTATTAAATTTGTTAAAGTGTTTCATGTGATCTTTAGGTGATTCTGGTCTGCAGCAATAACACCAAGCTGGCTGAGGTCTCAGAGCCCAGCACCTGTGTGTACTCACTAATCTTTCAGACGCCACTTGTCTGCCATCCACATTCTCTTTTAGGTAAGATTCCAGAGGTATAAATCTTCCAGGCTTCTTGGTAATGACAGTTCTCATGGTATTTATGTTCGATTTATCTGTTTGTTAATTTTTGCAGTGTACCCGACGCTGAATCAGAAGCTCCAGGAGGAATGGGATGAAGCAGAGCAGGCTCGCTATGAGGGTCTGATTACTGAGCAGGTGGAAATCACTTTGACAATGTAGTTTGTTTCTATGTGAAAGATGTCAAACTGGGGCTCAGTTCACACAATCACATTTTCAATATTTCATATACATTTGATTCAAAATGAGTTTCTTTTTTTTCCTTTGGAAGGTGAATTAGAAGCTGTTATTTGCCATTCTTGTCACAGGGGTACAACAACCTCTTGAGGGATATTTTTGAGGATGCTGGACTCCTAAAGAGCCTCAAAGTGAACATCAATCTGCCGGAAGCTGAAGCAGATTCAGAAAAGCAAAACTCTTTACAGAAATGTGAAGAGGTAAGTGTTAACACAAATGATAACCATGTCTTTGTCCCACATCCAGAAACACACCATTGAATCCATCTTTAATATGGAATATATTCTTGCAGAACTCCAAAAAGCAGAAGGAAGAGATTGAGAGGCTGCGAGCTCTCCTAACGCAGCATAATATCCCCTTTGATCCACAGACAAGTCAGTTCACCAATTTAGTTTTTTTATACTGTTGATTTTTACATGAACCTTTCTGTGTAATATTGTTTTCTGTGTGGCAGATGAAGAAAACCATCCAGTGAGCGTCACAGCTAAGGATCAACACTTGAGAGGAGACACTGGCCTCATTGAGCTGCGGTGACATTCACCAAGACGAGTCTGTTTATTGGTCAGTGTGATCAGCTGATAAGCCACTGAGGCTGTATTTGTAGTGAGCCTCCCCCCAAAAAATTGTCCATATCTAAATCTTCACTCTCACCAACATGGAGGGGCATTTCTATCAAACAAAGCTGAGGATTGAAGGACAGTCTATGAAGCTCTGATAAGCACAACTTCTCAGTTTGGGCAGGTTTAAAGTTTCTTCTTCATTGTTAATATTTCAGACATGAAGTTCTGTCTCCTCCAACATGTGCACAAATGTGTGTTTGTAGCTTTAGCAACACCTTTCATGAACTACTTGATGGATGTGAGTGAAACTCAAAGTAATTACTGCATCTACAACTGATTTATTTTTAGATTCACCCAAACTGAAAATGACTACCACAGCTAATCAGCAGAAGGCAACATAAATATGACGACTCAACCAAGTTTAGATATTGACGTAAAACTTGGCGTGATATTACGAGTCTTCTTCAGCTCATACTCTGAGCACTACACATTACACATCTTAATCTAAAACTTTGGCATTAACTGTTGGCATCAATGCTTTTTGTTAGCAAAATATCTCAAACTGGACAGAATTTAGATAAAATCTCTGAACGTAAATATTAAATATTCATCTACAGATCATTGATATTTTGGAGTTAGCCCAATATACAGTAGGATGTCCACAATAGCCAGTTGACCTTAGTAAACACAAAATGACTACAAATCATTTTCCTGATTTTAAGTTGCTAGTTATTCCCAATTCATATTAGTTTAAATGCATCGTGATATAAATTCCTTAAAGGAACCTTCCAACTCTTTAAGTTTTTACAAACCAGATTCCAAAAAAGTTGGGACACTAAACAAATTGTGAATAAAAACTGAATGCAATGATGTGGAGGTGCCAACATCTAATATTTTATTCAGAATAGAACACAAATCACAGATCAAAAGTTTAAATTGAGAGAATGTATCATTTTAAGGGAAAAATCTGTTGTTTCCAAATTTCATGGCGTCAACAAATCCCAAAAAAGTTGGGACAAGTCCATTTTTACCACTGTGTGGCATCCCCTCTTCTTCTTACAACACTCAACAGACGTCTGGGGACAGAGGAGACCAGTTTCTCAAGTTTAGAAATAGGAATGCTCTCCCATTCATGTCTAATACAGGCCTCTAACTGTTCAATCGTCTTGGGCCTTCTTTGTCGCACCTTCCTCTTTATGATGCACCAAATGTTCTCTATAGTGAAAGATCTGGACTGCATGCTGGCCATTTCAGTACCCGGATCCTTCTCCTACGTAGCCATGATGTTGTGATTGCTGCAGAATGTGGTGTGGCATTATCGTGTTGAAAAATGCAGGGTCTTCCCTGAAAGAGATGACGTCTAGATGGGAGCATATGTTGTTCTAGAACCTGAACATAGTTCTCTACATTAATGGTGCCTTTCCAGACATGCAAGCTGCCCATGCCACAAGCGCTCATGCAACCCCATACCATCAGTGATACAGGCTTCTGAACGGAGCGTTGATAACAACTTGGGCTATCCTTGTCCTCTCTGGTCCGGATGACATGGTGTCCCAGTGTTCCATAAAGAACTTCAAATCGTGACTCATCTGACCACAGAACAGTCTTCCATTTTGCCACACTCCATTTTAAATGACCCCTGGCCCAGTGCAAACGTCTGAGCTTGTGGAGCTTGCTTAGAAATGGCTTCCTCTTTGCACTTTAGAGTTTCAGCTGGCAACGGTGGATGGCACGGTGGATTGTGTTCACTGACAATGCTTTCTGGAAGTATTCCTGAGCCCATTCTGTTATTTCCTTGACAGTGGCATTCCTGTTTGAGGTGCAGTGACGTTTAAGGGCCCGGAGATCATGAGCATCCAGTAGAGTTTTATGGCTTTGACCCTTACGCACAGCGATTGTTCCAGATTCTCTGAATCTTTTGATGATGTTATGCACGGTTGATGATGATAACTTAAAAGTCTTTGCTATTTTACGCTGGGTAACACCATTCTGGTATTGCTGCACTATCTTTCTGCGCAACAATGGTGGAATTGGTGATCCTCTTACCATCTTGGCTTCTGAGAGACACTGACACTCTGAGAAGCTCGTTTTATACCCAATCATATTGTCAATTGACCCAATTAGCGTTAATTGGTCTTCCAGCTGTTTGTTATATGCTCAATTTCCTTTTTCCAGCCACTTATTGCTACTTGTCCCAACTTTTTTGGGATTTGTTGACACTGAAATTTTGAATCAACACATTTTTCCTTTAAAATGTTACATTTACTCAGATTAAACTTTTGATCTGTCATCTATGTTAAATTACGAATAAAATATTGACATTTGCCATCTCCACATCATTGCATTCAGTTTTTATTCACAATTTGTTTAGTGTCCCAACTTTTTTTGGAATCCGGTTTGTATATCAGTCTGTGTGTAATGAATGAATATAATCTACAAGTTTCACTATGAATGGAATTATTGAAATAAATCGACGTTTTCATGATATTGTAATTTTATGACCAGCACCTGTATATGCCAGACATAAACGTTAAAATTGAGTCCACTTCAATCAAATATGTTTTTATGAGCATTAACTTATTTGTTTAAAAATAGAACAAGTGATTAAAACTCATTAAGTAAAATCATTTGAGTGCATTTGTTAACTTGTTTTTCATTATATGAGCACTGAAGTCTTTGAATTGTCCTTTCTGTGTTCAGCGCAGCAGAAGTCGATGATTCCAGTGAGGAGAGCGACACGTCAGAAGACGATGAATCAGAAGAGGAACGCACAGATGTGGCAACAGTTTCACACCAAGAAGAAAATGACGCCTAAATCGAAGATTTTATGTCATTTTACTGGAAAGACTGAACATATTTTTGTAAAAAACTATACATAAATACATAAAATGTAAATAAAGGAGGAATGCAATGATTTTCTATGCTTACTTTTAATTTGATGGCAAAAGCGAAATGTGTTAAGAGAAAGGCAAACATTTTTCCAGTGATAAATAGCTCAGGCACACACTGATGACCTCAAATAAAACTCAGTACAGTGTAGTATTTTTTTTTTACTTAAAGTGGTACTTTTACTACGCTACAATAGGATAGAAAAATTACAGCCACCTCCTCTACATGTACCAGATAGTATTTACTTTAGTCATTGTAAAATAGCCTTTGCTCCACAGGTAAAGTGGATTACTGATTCATGCTAAATTATTTTGAGACGGAAAATAAGAATACGTGAATAAACTCATTTTCTAATTTAAGAAACATACGATGTTCAGGTCGAGTATCGATACCACCAGTTAATACTTTTCGAGACCTGTAGGTAAACTTAGTCTCAGACTGGTTAAAATAGTTTGTAGGCCACGTAATCTATTGTATGTGAATATGAACAAGCCTATCGGTTAAAATGAAGTTCAGGGGGTTGTTAATGTGGCGGCCGGGGGGGCGGACACAGCAGGACTCTCCTCTGCTGTCCTGCGGTAACATTGTTGTGGAACGACGTCACACCTCGAAAAAATGAAGGCACAGAGGCAGCAGCCATTACTGGAGCTTCTCTAATTATTTTATTCCGAATAAATACTGACGGTAAACTCCCATGGCAAGAGCTACAAGTCAGCTGGTAAGTGTTGAAATTCTAACAAAGGTACGTGTTCGAAGCCTGGGCTCAGAATGTGCCGCGGAGTAGCCGTGTGGTGATAACTTATGTGGGGCCTTCGTTTGAAGTGCGATTCAGACTAAAATATCGTTACGACTCACTAGCAGCGTTAGCTTCCCAAAACACAACAGCCTGTTTGTTAAGCTCTTATTGGTCTTTCGGTGTTTGGGTTGGTTCGTCAATTAAGATTTCTCAATTAAATATATAGGAAGAAAAGTGTGGGTGCTTGGCAGTAATTTTTTGTGTATATGAGACCATTTTCTTCTGACCAGTAATGCTTGGCTAATCTTAGCTTAGGTTCGCGCTTTTGACCGACACTTGCTAACAGGCTAACATTAGCTTCCACCTTTCGCGAAGAGATAAGTTTTCTTTTAATAAGCTCGTGTCATTCGATTGTCAAGTTTCAAAATCAGATTATAGTTTTAGTACAGTACTTTAGAACTCTGGTAGGAAATGTTATCTGAAGGTAGCGAAAGGTTTTTGAAGTTCCCACTGTTACCTAGTTTGCTAATCTTAGCCGTATGTTAGCGGTAAGTTTGGTAACTTGCTGTCAGTGATGACCGGTGTTGTGCCGAAAAAGGCATCCCTACCGTGGAACGTTAATTCGCTACCGGAAGCACAGTTCAAAATACTTTTCACTAATAAACTAACTACAAATCAAAACTGATATTCCGATTCCTCGGTTTCAACACCCTTAAGTACAAGGTTATCTAAAATATTTTCATCATGGAATTAAACTGTATAACAATGGGTGTTGCCATTCCTGAATCTAATAAGCTATTATATTCGCACTCTAATTTACTAATAGTATATTGACTAATATCTTGTTTCATTGGAAATTAAGGTTTAGAGTGGTGCACATCCCGGTATCCGTAGCTTGCCTTAAAAACACCCTGTAGGCTACATACATGTCCAAATGAAATAATTGTAAATAAATTAGTTATTCGGGGTAGTGAAACCAAAAGCCACTTTTTACTTTGACTCTAAGTGCATAAAAGTACTTTGTGATGCTCCTTTCCTCGACGAGGATGTTTTTTCGGCACAACACCGGTCGTATCGAACAAGGTAGCATAAGCTAACGTTAGCTTGTTAGCATGCTTCGGTTAGCATAGAAAGTTCGCATAGGCCCGTTGTTACCCAGGCGTGTATGGTTAGGAAAATGTTGGCTGGCGTTGTCCATCAACCATTACACTGTTGACTTAATGTTTACGGTTCACTAGTAAGTTACGCGGGTAGTTGACAGCTGTAGAGACAAGCCCGGAATAGGCAGCTTTAGGCAGCTAAATGGCCACACCTTGGTTTTGAATGAGAAGAAGCTAGGCTAATTGAACAAACTTAACTAAAATATGAGGTTATCTACTTTAAATGTTGTTGTAGTTCAAAATGTCACAAATAACTTGACATTCAAATGGACAACAATTAAGTTTTTAAAGAGGAAAGCCAGTGGGGTTTACCTCTTCAGCTGATTATTGGTTTTACTAAATGTACTCAAATGCAATTTCCTCAGTGTTGTTTTAGTAAGTGCTGTTGTCACTTAAAAACAGTCCAAGATGAACAACCAAGGCTGTGACTACTACTACCTTGTGGTAGAAGTATCTATAATTGCTGGATGTCTTTCGGGACTTTTACTTATAATACTTTGTCTTGAATTATTACTTTTTAAGAATCCAACAAATGGTGTTAACGAAATCAGCAGAGTGGGAAAGGGAGTGTTGTTTATGTTTGCTGTAAGAGTTTCAATTTTTGTTCTTCAAAGTTTTATTTATTGGGTTTCTAAAGTGATTGTTACAGTATTAAAAAAAACAAGATAAGCGATGTTTCTGCAGGTCATAACTTGAATTTATTAAACCCAACTCAGACCTTCCTTGGATTCTGTCACATACTTTGGGTCGATTTTTCTTTTCAGAAAGAAACCTACAGGAATTTCTGCAGAAAAGTCTATTTTCTAATCATAAATATTATTGCAAAACAGTACACGCGCTCTTTCCAATTTTATAATAAAATCTTACATCACTTGGAACGTTTTCAGTGTGTGTGTGATGACAAAGCAATTTATTAAACGACCCAGTTTAAAGAAAAGTTCAGAGAAGCACCACACAGCAATTTCCTCAAATGAGCTTTTTCATTTGAATAAATCTTACGAGTTCTCCAGATATTAAGCTTGATAATTATATTGTTTCTAGATGTATCTGGTGTAAACCTGCAAGCGCGTCACTTCTTATTCAGAGTGACAGGAACCAGTTAGATAACCCTATTTATCAAGTGAAGATGTTATGACAAAAAAAAAACAGAACTAGACTTGCATCACCCTGCTGACTCGTATGTATTCTCGTTACTCCCTTCTTGTTCTAGTATGATGTTGTGCCCATTCAGCCCAATGCTGTCATCTGTTCCTGCTCACATTCATCAATGGTAAGAAACCACCCTGACTCCTGCTCGCCACTTGCTATCCCAGGCGCAAGCAGCATGGAGGGCTCAGCCTCACAGGCTTGTACTGTCGGAGCAACTGGCCGCAGTCAGAGCTCTGACGACCGTGCACAGCCTGCCGTCCAGGTCCCCCAGCCACGCAAGAAGAAGCCAGAAGACTTCAAGTTTGGCAAAATACTGGGAGAGGGCTCCTTCTCAACGGTATGCAACTTGATTTACTCTTTCCGCCTTCTTGTTATAGCAGGGTAGATGTTACTACATGCTGGCATTCTTTTGATTAATACTCTTAGATGAGTCATCTTCAATTCATTTAAGGTGAATTCACAAATGGTTCCAGATATATATTTTTTTAATCTTCTCCCAAGTTAAACAAACTGCTAGCATACCATAATAATATTTTCCCTTTTTTCTTTTTCTTAAGGTTGTTCTAGCAAGAGAGCTGGCCACAGGGAAAGAATATGCAAGTAAGGATGAATGCAATGGTTCATTACAGATCCATTTTATTTGTGTTTTGTAATCGAAATTGAAAATATTTTAAGGTTTACTTGTCTTTTTTCCTTCCTTTTAGTTAAGATTTTAGAGAAGCGCCACATTATGAAGGAGAACAAAGTCCAATACGTGAAAAGAGAAAGGGATTTGATGTCAAATCTTGATCACCCATTCTTTGTAAAGCTCTATTTCACATTTCAAGATGATGAAAAGTTGTGTATCCTTTCAAATAATTAAGACATTATCTGTTTTAAATTTTCAGTTGACTGGTTTGTTGTTCGTTTGTTTGTTTTTTTTGAAAAGGGAAGCTTTCTTAACTGTCTTGTAGATTTTGGTCTCAGCTATGCTAAGAACGGCGAGCTCTTGAAATACATTCGCAAAATTGGTTCATTTGATGAGACCTGTACACGGTTCTACTCAGCTGAAATAGTTTGTGCTCTAGAATACTTACACAAAAAGGGGATAATTCACAGGTAAGAGGTTTATTATTATTGTTTTGTTTTTATTAGCCACACTTAAATGTTCGCATACAACACATTTTTATTCTTTTCATTTCAGAGATCTGAAGCCAGAAAATATTCTTTTGAATGAAGAGATGCACATCCAGATAACAGATTTTGGGACAGCAAAACAGTTATCGTCAGATAGTAAACAAGGTAAACTCACAATCCTGAATTTGCTTTTGTGGGTAAAATAACATTTAAAAGTATCATGAAAATATTTATACCGTAAAGGTGGATGAACTTGGGATCTACACGTTTGAACGTTTTTGGTAGAACAATCATCGTGAAATTCAGTCATAATTCTCTGAAATTTTTCTATTTATATTTTAGCTTCTACTGAAGATTGTTCAATAAGCAGCTAATTGTAGGAAAAAGTATGAAAAGTATCATGTTTCAACAAGTTGCTTCATACAGAATTGTCACATTAGTAGATAGTATACCCACTTCATAGTATAGAAGTAGTGAGTATATTGGACTTATTATAGCACGTTGGTTTAGTGGTCATCTTTCAACTGATGGACTGAAAGATTAAACCCCAGCCAGCCATATGTCAGTCTTTAAACAAGATATTTGTAGTGACATTCTTTTTCGTCATTATTTATTATTACTGTGTTTTTACCTATTTTTGGGAGAACAGTTGTTTTTCGCCAGATGTCTGCAAAACCACCAGAATATGTTTTTGTGGGATTTGTGTAGCCATTTATTGTTTTAACATATTGCCCCTTCTTTTATATTTTTAAACATAACAAAACTTTAGCACATGGTTGTACTGAGTCATAACAAAGTAGTACACAAGTTAATAATCATGGTTACATTTTACTTTGAATGTCCTGCACTTGTGCAGTCCCTTTTTATTGACATCAGTAAATAAAAAGTATTTGACGTAGGAGAAGCACTAATGTGTTGCCAAGAGCTGCATTTCACTTAAAGGGATATCTCTCATGGATTTTCTGCAGCCAACTTACATACAGATGTGCAGAAATTGAAAATATCCCTTGTTAATGCACCTAAGCTTGTTTATTTCCAGTCAGAATGTCTGGTGTGAAAAAGGTCTGTGGCTAGGTTTAAATTTAACACTTATTAGAATGGTAGTGTTTCCTTTTCATGCGTGTTTCATGCTAAAATAAGTCTATGTTAAATAAAGTCATTTGTTTGAGGATGCAGTCATGCAAAATTCAAGTATGTTGTTGAAGTTGTACAGATGTTTTTACTTCAAGTGAAAAACTTGTGACGATGAAAATGATGACAATCTTCTTGAGCCTGCCCGACATACAGACAATCATCTAACAGGGTTGAGTCAGGGCCTCTGGACAGATTCTTCTTTAACAAAACATTTCGTCTTTTGGATAAAAGACGAAACGTTTCATCTACCTGGATTGTTGAGCAGCATCAGCACATACAGATGTTTACTTTTGTTATTCCTTCTGCAGCGAGAGCAAACTCCTTTGTTGGTACAGCACAATACGTCTCCCCAGAGCTGCTGACAGAAAAATCAGCCTGCAAGAGGTAATGTTTTTTTTTTATTTGTTTCACACCTTCGATCTCACATTTGGAAAAGTCTAACTTTGATTTTATTTTTTTCAGTTCTGACCTGTGGGCCTTGGGATGTATAATCTATCAACTGGTAGCTGGTTTACCACCGTTCAGAGCAGGGTAAGTATTAATGAGATACTTCCAAGGTAGAAAATAAATCTTTTGAAATGTCTTTGGCTGAACTGACTGAAGTTAAGTTAACTTTTGGTACTATTAAAGACTTGCTCCAGTATATATTAATCCCCTAACTGCTTATCTGTTCCTCACAAGTACATATTAAAGTTGCTTTTTGTGTGTGTGTTTTTTTTTTGGCAGTAAGCAAACACAATTTTAGGCCTATCTTATTACGACTACGCTCATTCTTCATTCACTGTGAGGTGAATCTTTGTCTTCATCTCCAGCTAGCAGCGTAGGACACTGTCCTGTCTGTTTCTCAGTGACCAGTTTTGTTATTGGAGTAATTCACCTAAATATGTTTGAACCACAGCAGTCTTTAAGAAGAGGAAGCAGAAATGTTGTTCCTGTTTAATTCCATCAAATACAAATAAGTTGTCCTTTTGAAACTGTATGTAGTGTGAAAGTCCTCAGCATGAAATGTATTTTCTATCTATTGTAACACAAAAACACTGCATTGACAAGATTTACAAACTTGTTTTTGGCAAAGGAGAACTTGGTGTTGAAGGTTAAATTTTAGTGGTTAATGTTGTGCAAGAAGTTCCAACTAACTAAACTATGTGTGACTCACTTCCTATACAATGTAAGTTAGGTTTTGTTTGTTTGTTTTGCTTTTATCTTCTCACTCTCTGTTGCTTTTTTTTTTTTGTCTCCCATTTCTCATATGTTGTAGAAATGAGTACCTAATATTCCAGAAAATAATTAAGTTGGAGTACGAATTCCCTGAGAAATTTTTTCCCAAAGCCAAGGATCTTGTTGAACAACTTTTGGTAAGTTGTCCTTTGCAACAATATGTTTTTGTTGTTTGTATTTATTTCATGTTTGTGAGCAGATGTATTGATTATCCGTGTGAAATTGTTTCTTTGTAGTCGAGCGTTAACAAACCTGTCATGTTGTCCTTCAGTCACTGGACCCATTGAAGCGGCTTGGCTGTGAAGAGATGGGAGGGTATGACCCACTGAGGCACCATCCTTTCTTTGATTCCATTTCTTGGGGTGACCTTCACCTCCAGACACCCCCTAAGCTTACTCCCTACCTGCCAGCTATGTCTGAAGATGATGAGGACTGCTATGGAAATGTAAGCATTTGTTGTTCATGTCTTAATCCATTGTTTTATTAAATAAATTTAAAATCAAAAGTGCTGCCTTGTTGAAAGACACAAATTCCTGAACATGTCGAATAACCCACAAATTTTCCACTAACCGTCGACGTCTTTTGCTTTAACCTCTTGCGATGAATCTTCAGTATGATGACCTCCTGAGCCAGTTCAGCAACATGCAGGTGGCCCCGTCCAGCTCGTCACACTCCTTGTCGCCACTCGACTCTACCCCCCCGCAGAGGTCCAGCAGCAACATTGAACAGTACATCCATGACCTGGACAACAACTCCTTTGAGTTGGACCTGCAGTTCACTGAAGAAGAAAAGAAGTTACTGCTGGATAAACAGACCACTGGAAACCCATGGTAAATTCACTGGACGGTGCATTAAATGGAAACGCTGTTTGTCGGTGCTTACATTTGCGTCGCAATGCTGTTTTGATATTTGTTTAGCTATCCTTTCATATGTGCTGGGGACAGCTGTTAAGTGAAAAAGAGGTGACCATGATCTGCTGTTGCTCATTTACACAGGCACCAGTTTGTGGAGAATAACCTGATCCTCAAAATGGGCCCGGTGGATAAACGCAAGGTATGGGTTTATATTTGTTTCACTCTTCCAGTTTTGAGGGAAGTTTTTTTTTTTTTTGCTTTGGTTGCTGAAACTCTCAAAGGCCCCATGGCCCCCTCTGTTGGTGAACTGTCTTGAAACGTTTGCATTCCATGTCAGGGATTGTTTGCTCGCCGAAGACAGCTGCTGCTTACCGAAGGACCACACCTGTATTACGTGGATCCTGTCAACAGGGTCCTGAAAGGGGAGATTCCTTGGTCCTTCGAGTTACGCCCCGAGGCCAAGAACTTCAAAACCTTCTTTGTTCACACGGTAATCATTGATTTATTCCTAATGCTGAGCAAATATTTCCCCAGCAGCCTGTTCTTACTTGCTCGTTGTTTGGTGTCTCTTTACATGTGTGGTTTTTGTTTTGGTGTTCAGCCTAACCGGACATACTATTTGATGGACCCCAGTGGAAATGCAGACAGATGGTGCAAGAAGATCCAGGAAGTGTGGAGAAAGATCTATCAACGGCACCAAAACCCTGGCCTATAGGAGCACAATTTCTCCTGCGCCTACTACTTTTTTTATTTTTATTTTTTAGTGGTTTTTTTTTTTTGTTTGTTTTTTTTAAAGCTCTGAGGCCAATCACTGAGCAGAGTAACACCCTCTTTAGTGCCCTTCATCACTGCAGTGTAAACAAACTCTTAGAGACGCTGGCATCTAGAGCTTGTTTGTTTTCCTGAGTCGATCCAGGGGAAAATACAACTTTGGATTCAGGGTTGCTTTGCTTGTTCTTTGTGCTCTCTGTGAGGCTTTTATTGCTTTTTTTCCCCTCCATGTATGGATGATAAAACTTCCATAATGCACATCTGCATTTTGTACATTCTGCGTGAGGAAAGAGATGGGCAAGCTTGTCTTGTGCAGTGACACAAGCTTGGGTACTATTAGGACTATCCCAAATGCAAGAACTGGTTTCCTGCTTCATTGAGAATAGAAAATCTATCCTTTCTGAACCAGTCTGAAAATATACCTTAATGATAATTAAACCACATGCATACACAAAATGTGCAAGCTGTCATAAAGCCCAACTTTTAGAGTGTGTACTCCATAGTTGTAGCAGGTATTTGTAATCTGATGCAGTCTCACACATTTACCCAACTCACGTCTTTTTGTTTTTTTTTCTAGAACCTGATTAATCCATGATATTTGAGTTATTTCCATTAATCTCCTGGTACTTGCTTATTGCAATCCAATAAAGGTCTCTGTGCAGCAAAAGCGGAATGCTTTTGCATTGCATGCAGAATGGTCTGCAGTAAGATAAAGGTCTGAACCAGTGTGAAAGTGTGAGCCCTCCGTAGCTGATACTGAGGATGGTTTTGCTAATGAGGCATCAACATGCCACTAGCTTGTACTTCCCAAACGTAACTTGCTAATCTTTCCTGCATGGCCAGTTTTGTAACCCAGCTTTGTCTGCTTTTCTCTTAGGGCACTGGAGATTTAGTTTTCTTTTTTCAAGTTTTAAAGGTGGGTATTTTTGACTGCATTTGGCAACCATTGCAAAAAAACTTTAATAGATGTTTTGGTTGTTTTGTACCATTCACTGGCTTTGTGGTGTGAATTCTTCATTTTATTTTATTTTAATGGAAAAGATGGTTCATCTTCAGTATGTTTTGTTAAAAATAAAAATCTTATGTGCTGACCACCCCATGCTGAACAGAACACCTCTATCAACCTACATACGTGCACGGTCTCATTCTCTGAAGCAATCAACGAAAAGCTGTTGTCCCTGGACAAGATGGCACTACTGCCTCAGTGGGTTTATTGGCCCACTTTTGTTTCTCTCATTCTAAAGTTTGGCCCAACAGAAATTAAAGCGACCGATTTACCATGCGCTTTTTTTAGCGATCTGTATTATCATAATGCTTTTAATTTTGGACATAGTACCTTAAGGTCCTCCAAAGGCCCTCTTCCTTCAGCTGAATCTATGTGTGCAGTGTGTGACTGGAGTATTCGTGAACAAGACCCTGGAGCCCAGGATTTGATATGATTGGATGTCAGTTAAAGGATATCCATCTGATCCAAATGACCGATGAAATTGCTGTATCTGTCTATAAAGTTGAGGAAACGCCAGAAAAGCGTTTTCCTCCGATTAGAAAATTGTTTGAATCAAGTCGATGGCTGTCGGTTACATTGTGTAAGAAATATTCTACTTTGGCATGTAACTGACTGGAACTGTGATGTACAGATGTAATATTGAATCTGAAGCGAGTAATGCAATGATATTAGGATACAGTTTTTGTATTTTTATTCTTGTATAAGGTTATTGAAGGCTATTGTTTAGCCTATAGTTCATTCTGTGTTATTTAAATTCTAATATATGAATCATATTTGGATTGAAGTCATGTTCAGGGGCCATGTTGTGTATGTATTGAGATGTAAAGCCTTTGAATGTGAATAATTATTGTAAACTATAATATTTTACAGCTTTTTCTTACTATATCATACATTTTCTATTTGCTCAGTGATTTAATCATATTCTGATAATTTAATGAATCTGTTCATTCTCGCTCTGATTATTTGTGCGCAAGGTCAGTAGATGTTGAATGATGAATTTTCCACTTAATGCTTGGTAGATCAGTAATTAAAGCATGTAGGGATTTAGGCATTCAAATGAAAACCATGTGTCTTGTCTTCTGTCAACCACCTCAGCCACGACACAGAACCGCGTACAGTGGTGATGACCTACATTTTGCAACCTGTAAATAAACCCATTACCAGTACTGTTGTGTTGTGGGAAATCATTGCATACACATCACCGTTGTTCTTTTTGTTCATACTTCGCCATCCTTTTTGGATTCAAACCAGTTTCACTCTGCCTACTTTGATCAATTTCAGTGTTCCCAACCCTGGTCCTTGAGGAACGCCATCCTGCATGTTTTAGGCGTTTCCTGCTCCAACACCAGATTCAGTGATTTAATCAGTTCCATCAAGTTCTGCAGAAGCCCGTTAATCACCCGTTCATTCAAAGCAGAAAAATAACTAAAACGTACAGGATGGTGTTCCTCAAGGACCAGTGTTGGGAACCACTGATCTATTTAACCATACAAGTATAACAAATATTCGACTTGATTGGAAATGTAGTATATTTTTTAAATTTGTTTACAAAATGTACCTATAGAGTGATCGCTTCCTTCAGAAGCAACCCTTTTAAATATGCTTCAGGTACTTGCTCAAATTTTATATTTTTAATGCAAATGTTAGCTACTGGTTTAGCTAATTTGAGCTATTTTAGATTAGAGCAGTTATTCTGCTAATTTTAGCGTTTAGCTATTGTTTTGCCACATTTAGTGTTTATGAATTTGGTAAAGCAAAAACGTGCATTTGGTTCACTGTTAATAGATTTCGCAGCTGTACCTTTACTTAGTTTTGCTGCATTTAGCTACAATTTAGCTACATTTGGTTTTTATGTACTGTTCTGCTACATTTATAGTTTACCAACTGACAAAGAAAAAAAGCAAAACTTTAATGACTGAACTGACCTAACTGAACTTTGTAGGGTTTTCTACCTGGATTAATGAACATGAACTTTGATGTTTTGAACCACCTTGGCTATGGCTGCCTCAGAGGAGTCGACGGGGAGACGGCAGGCTCCAGGAACCATCTTATCACCAGAAAACTGCTTTGTCCACTATGTGGGTGTGCTGCTTGTGGGACACAGTTGGATGATGATGTTTGCAGATGACATTGTGATCTATGGTGTGAGCAGGGAACAGGTGGAAGAGAACTTGGAGAGGTGGAGGTATGCACTTGAAAGAAGAGGAATGAAAGGCCGAGTATATGTGTGAATGAGGGAGGCCGGTGGAACAGAGGCTATAAGGAGCAGAGGTCACAAAGGTGCAGGACTTCACTTGGAGTCAACTGTTCAGGAAAATGGGGAGTGTGGTAAAGAGTTGAAGAAGATAGTCCAGGCAGGATGGAGTGGATGGAGAAAAGTTTCAGGAGTGATTTGTGACAAAAAGGTGTCAGCAATGGTCAAAGGAAAAGTTTACAAGACAGTGGTGAGACCAGTTATGTTGTATGGTCTGGAGACCGAGACACTGATGAAAGACAAAAGAAAGAACTGGAAATAGCAGAAATTAAGATGTTACGGTTCTTAGGAGTAACAAGGATGGATAAGATTAGGAATGAGATCATCAGAGGTACAGCACAGATTGAACAACTGCGAGAAAAAGTTAGAGAGACCAGACTGAGATGGTTTGGACACGTCCAGAGGAGGGACAGTGGGTATACTGGTAGAAGGATGTTAGAAATGCAGCTGCCAGGAAAAAGACAAAGAGGAGATATATGGATGCAGTTAGAGAGGACATGGAGGTAGTTGGAGTGAGGACAGAGGATGCAGAGGACAGAGTGAAATGGAGGAGGATGACTTGATGTGGAGACCCCAGAGGAAACAGCTTAAAGAATAAGTGTTTAACAACTGGTAAAGCAAAAAATATATATATTGTAGCATTCTGCTGTGGTTGACTGTCAGTCTCATGGCCTCAGGGATGGATTATAGGTAGAATTGATGTTAAGTGTTAAGCATTTCCATTTTCTTTAAGTCTGTTCTTGTTAGCCTTGTTCATGTGTTCATTATGTGTTAGGCCATTCAGTAGATTATGAGTGAGGGAGGCAGTTGTCGTGGCCTGTGGGGTTCACTGTGTGTACTGAACAGTAAAATTACCTTAGTTCTATAAAATGCCACCTGGTTGTTGATTTATGATCTACAGCAAGAGCCGCACATTTCTCAATAGGTGTGTGTTATACGCCACAATTACTGTTATTGGATTTTAGATCGCTTTAGCTGCAACTTAATTTCAGTCATGTGCTTTTAAGTACACTGTTTCTAATTTTGCTTTTTAGTTGTTGGTTTAATTTTTGCTACTATTTAATTTATCTTTACCTTTGTGGTAAATTGATCTTTAGTGGGCCAGCCATCAGACTGCTTAGTCCACTATGAGTGTGCTGCTTGTTTGTTGTGGCTCCTCGCACTGATGAAGTCCTTTGGATGAAGGACGAAACGTTTCAACAAAAATACGAACTCGTCCAGAGGACCTGACTTTATTAGGTTTTTTTACCTGGATTATTGAGCATGAACTTTGATATCTTTTACCTTTAGTTTTGCTTTTTTTTAAGTTCACAAAAACATTGAACATAATGCACCTTAGTATATACTATTTTCTGTTTTGTGTCACATGATGCGCTGTGACATTCACAGTCTCCGTATCCACGCGTCAGAAACCCGAGTGGGCCTCCTCCTCCTCCTCTGTGAAATAATTAATGAGTCTGTGCGGGCGCCGGGCGGACCGGGTCAGTAGGAGTGGCTCGGGCGGAGCTGGCAGTGGTGGCTGACTCGCAGTCGGCGGCTTCAGCTTCATATTTCCTGCGAGCCGTCTGCTCACGAAGCAGCAGAGCCGAAGCGAGAGCGGAGGAGGAGAGGAGCGGGATGGCAGAGAACAGCTCCGAGACAAGCGGCTCCGCTCACCGGAGACACTCGGCCCACTCTCCCGGGGACAGGAACATTTCAGTCGGGGCATCCAAATGGATACGATTAAACGTCGGGGGAACGTACTTTTTAACAACGAGACAGACGCTGTGTCGAGATCCGAAATCATTTCTGTACAGACTGAGCCAAGCTGACCCAGAGCTCGACTCCGACAAGGTAAATGCTAAGCTAGCTGTAGTCGGGAGCGCTGTTAACTCGGGATTAATTTTTTAACCTCAGTGTGTATTCATTGGCTTTAAACATTTCAGCGCAGTTAAAACAACTAACATTTGTGTTTATAATTATTCTGACTCGGGAGCCCGAACTCAAGAATGCACTCGTTATCCTAAAAAATGTGCTCAAACTCAAATTTCTTTAGCTAGCTACTGTTAGCCCGTAGCTAGCTAGATTCCGACAGTCACCACATGACTTCAGAAAATGCTACTAGCTAGGTTTTTTTTCGCCATCAGGTTTTAAATTTATGAACATAAAAGGTTGCATAATAGTAATTTTAAAAAGTAGTGCTAGATGCAGCTTTTATTTATTTTTCAACATTTTTGTCCAGTAGTCTCCAGGCACAGTTATAAACTTTCCTCTATCCGAGGCCGTTGTAGTTGCTCATTTCTAATAAAAATAGTTTATGGTCAACGGTGAACATAAAGTGTGAAGGCCAACTTTATGTCTGTCTGATGAAACTTTTCCGGTAATGTATTTTTTTTTTTTTTGGCTTACCACTGTCTTAGCATTATGCAGCCTGTGTGTAAATGTTTCATAGGTAAAGCACGAGCGAGGACAGAGGTGCATTCATTCACTGGGATGCTGCTTCAGCTGAGAGCTCAGTGATGTAATTCATCCCCAACACTTCTGCCTCTCACATTTTCACCATCTGTCCATTTAAACAGTAGTTAGCCTGTGTACAGACCTGTCTTGCACAGTACTGTACTCGGTGTGTGTTCTGTTCATTGTTTTTATCTGCTTGCACAATAATCCTCACCCTTGCTCTCGTTTATGCTAAGATGAAACTACGGCTCATCTCCTGCTTTCATGCAAATATCCTAATCTCTCAATAATCAGCTTGGTTTTTTTCCCCCCTGTCAGTTTATCCTCTGTGAGCGATGGATCAGTGCATCTTGGATTATTGTCTTAAGTGTACATCACACTCAAGCCAAGATAAGAGAGCTTTCACGACAGGGCAGATTATTATTATTATTATTGGATATACCACTCGCCACTGTCTCAATTTATACTTGTCAGCATGGTTTCACCTTATTTGAGCTTAGATGGGCACCCAGGACCTAAATGGTAAGACGCATCAGTAAAGAGAAAACAATTTTATTGGATAAAAGTAATATTGAGCTTCCCAGCACAGGGACTAAGTGGTTCTTTTCTCAGTCACGCAGGCTGATGTGCTTCAGCAGGACTCTTTGAGGAGAACTGCATTATTCATGTTGTTGACTGGAGCTTGTTTTGCACTTTGGGGTAGACCAGGAAGAAAGTGGAGGAGGTGCTGTCCTGTGCAGAGCCATAAAAGCTAATAGTGCGGTGTTTAGAAGTGCGCTTGTGATATCATTTTGTTCTTAATGTTTAAGTAACTAACGTGCTGCTCAATGATGAGCATGTATTGCTTTCAGAATTGTCCAATTAGCGAAGAAAAGCACTTCAGTGAGCTTCTGTTGCACTAGCAGAGTCCTGCTTGCACACCACTCAGGGCCACTCAAGTAAGACTCGGCTCCTCTTGCTTTGAGAGCTGCATCAATTTTTCAAGCAACCCAACCCATCACAAAGGATTCCTGTTCTTCCACTATCTTATTTTTTTCATCTTCACATCTATTTACTGCCCAAGAAAGCTCTTTCTGCCTGTGTGAGAGAAGTACGACTGCGTTTAATGTCAGATTCACGTTGTACGCCATGTCTGGGTACACTGTGGGAGGCAGCGTAAATATTTAACGTTGGTATCATCTTTTCCCGCAGTCTTCTCGCAATGAGTGCTCAGCAGGACACTGCAGAGTGCTGTTGGCCAGTTATGCTATACTGAAGTCTAATTTTACCACTTTTATTTGCCTTAAGGTACTTTCAAATGACCGTCTTCCTGAGCTATAGAGGATTATCCTAAACCTTTTCGTCCCCATCAATTTTTCATTTCTGGCGTATTTTTCTGCTAATGAATGCACATTTGTGTGTCTAAGAAAAAACCCAGGTTTCAATCATTTGCAGCTTTTAGAAGCTTTTAAAACGTGCTGTTAATCTAGTATCAGAAAATGCTCCTGTCATATATTTTGCAAAATTTCATTTGCCAAAAATGTTGAAATAAAGCTTTTTTTTTTAAACATATATTTATGTAAAATTAGTGTATAATTAATTTAAAACTTAAACGTCTATTTTTACTTAAGTCGTTATTGATTTTGCTCTTGAGGAAATGTGGATCAGACTTGGCTTAGTAGCCACAGTCATGTGATTCAGAGGATCTACTGCAACATTTTTAAGCTTTGCTTTTGCTGGAGGCTGATGCTGCTGTTGTTCTGAATTCACCGCAGAAAAAGTCTTTATTCTTTTTAATCTTGGACCTTGGAACGATTTAATTTGATTGTGTTATGCTTAAAAAAACCTCAATTTGTAGCAACAATTAACTGTATATGCTGCTTTTTTGTGGCACACCCTTAATTTTTGTCAAATTAAGATTTGACGTTTGCTGCTGTAATGTGTCTGCAGAAAGCCTTATTGGACGTGTTGTGGTTGAAGGGTGGGTCACCGTGGTATTTCCTGTGGGAGGATATGTATTGTGTGTTGGAGAAGAATGATAAGGTTCATGCAAAACACATCCACCCTTCTAATTAACCTTGTTTACATAAATTTCCAGTTGTCTGTGGTTTGAATCTAGTGTTGGGACAATTTATCTATTTTTTCTTATTTTTTTTTTTATCTCTGTTGGAAATGTCAGTGATTTGGTTACCCTGTACTCCAGAAATTTTATTTATGAAACGTTTATTATGACCGATGCTAACTTTCTAGCGTTTTAATTTCTGTTTCCTCCCAGTTACATCTCCACAGCAACAGCCATTCTTCCCCTCCGCTGTCGTCCCAACCTCTCTCGTTCGTTGCCCAGTCCCCTTCCAGCGAGGCCTCCAGAGATAGACTTTTGTTTTTTTGTGTTAATTGTTTCACTGAGCCTAAACTGAGTCACTCAGACCAAAATGAAGAGATTTGCAAAACTGTCTTGCAAGATGGCAGGCAACAAGTTAACAGATGTGCTGTTCAGTCTTGGGTGTTTTAATGGGAGTGGACAAAAAATTATTTTTTTTTAGGTCATGACATTTTGACTAGCTGTGTTAGTCAAACTTTGACAGTAGGATAACTTGAACAATTCCTAATATAATTCAATAAAATTTACCCGTAAGTAATTTATAATTACTCTGTGGAAGGCATGAGCTGATTTTAAGGTTAAGGTTAGTCTTTAAGGGAAGACTGTCTGAGAAGTTGTGATGACCTTTTCCTCTTTTCTACCATGCGGCGCAGGGTTAAACAGGTCCTTCTTGTAAGTGAGACCTTGTGGCTCAGTGAGACTAACCTGTATAAATAAAGGTTGAATGAAAGAATGCAAGCTGTCAATCCGCTCTGTACTGATGTCCAAATGAGGTGAAACTGTCGATAAATTTCTCCTGGTTTAAAAACCAAACAAACAGAAACTTAACTGTTTCAAATGTTTTCTAGTTAAAAGAAGAAAAGAGGAGGCAGTTGTGGCTTGGAAACCAGAAATGGCAATAGTTTCATCTATAGCGTTTCACTCTAAAATAAAATAAATTGGCAACGCTTGGTAATAATTGTTGTGTGGTAAGCAGCTTAATAAAGCCTGCTTTCAAGGCAAATGACGTTTGATGAATTTATAAGGCACAAAGCATTAGTTCACGAGGCAGAGACGTTTGAATACGCATTGAAATTCACTTTTTTTAGTGCTACAATTAACTGCAACAATAGTAAATGTATCCTGATGCATGCTCAATAATCCGGGCTGAAAAATCTAAAAAAAGTTAAATCTGGTTCTCTGTAAATGTATATTTCGTCTTTGTTGACAACATCCATAAAAGTAGTCTTGATAATAAAAACACAACCATTATTTATGAGCGATTAACTTAGTCATAAGTTTAACACATTCCTGGTGCAACAATTGTGACTCTTCTAATAAAACTAACGTTGAACATATCTTCTGTCTTAGCAGACAAGTTGATCTGTCAAATACTGATGTACCAGAGTGCTTTTTGATTTAAAATGAAACATTGCTCGTTTATGTAACTTTTAATTTCTTCTTGTGCATTCTGTGTCATCACAGACCAAATTGTTCACCGTTTGAAATAATCGCATGATAAACACAGTGGGTGTTGTGGAGCTTTACAATGCACGTTCAGCAGTGGTGGGCACAGCTAACCCGTTAGCTTCACTAACTGCTAATCCGCTAACTAAAAATTTTTTAGCTTTGCTAACCACTAAACGGATTTTTAAAAATTGGCACGAGCTAATGCTAAAGCACTAACTTTTATTGTACACTACTGTCGCTGACACTGTAAGACTCTGTAATATGACAACGTAAGTGAACACAACTCAAAGCGCTTCATAAATCAAATTGATTAATGAAGCGCTTTACTTGTGATTAACAAGTAAAGCATCCGTGTCCCTCCTGGCAGAGATGAGCTTTCAAAAATTTATCTGGTACGATTTATCTATTTATCTTATTTGAGGGAGTGGTGACGCAGAGGTTAGAGAAGGTTGGCCTGTGATCAGAAGATCGCTGGTTCAACTCCCAGTACCGACAACATAAAAAAATGTGGGTGGGATAGATGAAACACCCACATCTGTCTCCATCCTTATTTGCCCCACTCTGGGCCCTTGAGCAAGGCCCTTAACCCCCACAATCTGCTCCCCCATGCACCCTAGATAGCAGCTCTGCTCCATATAGAGGGCTGTGGTAGCTCGGTGGTCTGTGGTTGAGTCAGGAAGGACATCCGGCGTAAAAATAATGGCCAAGTCTTCGTGCGACTTTGTTCGCTGTGGTGACCCCCTGAAGAAGGGAGCAGCTGAAAGAAGAAGAAAAAAGTGAAGTGTGTGAGTCATGTCCCAGAGACAATATGGACTTTGCAAAGCATGCTGGGTAGGAATTGGTATGCGTGCAATGTTTCTGGCTGTTTACAATGTTTCTGATTGTGATTTTCTCTGTTCTGGTTTGGTTTGACATTTTTGTTAAAATCTGTTACTGGATGGGGCAGCTGTGGCTGAGTGGTTAGAGCAGTCGTCCTCCAATACGAGAGTTGGGGGTTCGAATCCACCAGCAGTCACATGTCGAAGTGTCCCTGGGCAAGGCACTGAACCCCTCATAGCTTCTGATGTGTGTCCCATCAGTGTATGAATGTGATCTAAATCACTGATTAGTCTCTTTAGAATGATTTGTTCAATTAGCTTTGTAGAGATCTAGTAGAGTGCTGTATGAATGGGTAAATGAGGCACAGATTGTAGTGTAAAGCACTTTGAGTATCTTGAAACAAGATTGAAAGGTGCTATATAAGTACAGTCCATTTACCATTTAAACTGCTGCTGTATTCATTCAAACTCATCTACTCACACAGACTCATGTTCACGCTGCTGCTCTTCCACGTATTAGTGTTTAGCTTATTTCTTAGTTTAGCCTGTTAGTTTACTTTATATCTTAGATCCTTATTACCGTTTCTTTTGCAGTTGACATTTTGCTGTTGTTTGATGTAACTGGCACCCTGTGTACACAATTTCATTCCACCTCATGTGATGCGAATGACAATAAAGAACCTTGAACCTAAACTGACAGAGTCAGAGACTGTTAGTGGTATGAGAAGGAAAAATGCACTGTCAGGGTGGTGACGTCACCGCATGCTGCTAACCCTTGCTTAGCTCTGCATATTCATATCTGTATTGCATCACTCTGTGTGAATCATTCTCATGTGCTCTTTGTGTGGAGAACTGTCTTTAAAAAAATGAATGGACTTGTAGTTACTGGATTTAAACGTAGCTGAAGTTATTTCTGCTAAAGGGATTCAACGATGGTGAAAACACAAATCAGCTTAATGGAAAGCTAGTTCCGCTATTAGCAGATTAGCGGAAGCATGCCCACCTCTGGTGTTCAAAAATATTTTAAATGCTTTTTTTTAACACCCTAGATATGAACACTTCATCGTTATGGTACTTGACAGAAAAATGTGCAAGTGATTTTTGTTGTGAATGAATTTTGTATAAATCTGAACAAATACATTTTTTTTTTTTTTGTTTTATTGTACTTCCAGTGCATCACCTCAGCGACTAAGCACATATTTAAATTCCTCCTCTGACCCACTGACGGATACATAGTCCATGTGCATAAATCAGTCAACAAAATAAATATTTGCAAGTCAGTGTTTTGCTATTTTCAGATCAGGACGTTGTAGAAAACTTTTAAGTAAATGATTTTTTTTGGCCATTTACTTTAAGATCAAGAGTTTTCTACATCATTACCATGGTTTTCTGTGGTGTGATGAGGAGTTGTGCAGGTTTGGCCTAGTGTCCTCGGTACATGTACGTTTGCTTAAACCCCAGGGACCATTCAAATTTAAGAAACTGACGCAAAGCTTCAAGACCAGAATAGAGTTCCTCTGGGCTCCCTTGAATTATTTTTAAGTTTGAAAAGCGGTCAACCTGCCATGAGGGCTTAGAAATCCATTACAAAGGAAAATGAACTGGGACCTTTTCTCATTATTAGAAAGATTATTGGGTTTTGAGTTGAATCCATTTCTGGACAGTGAAGCTAACTGTGTCATTAAGAGCATCGCTGTATGGGTTGTTATACCAATGTATGAAAAAACAAGTTTTCTGGTGTAAAAATGTAATTATTTGTCTCATTGAGCAGTGCTGACAATTAAATTGCTGTTGAAGCCTTGTGCTCTATTGAAACCAAGTTCAATATCCTGGAGCATTTGAGGGTCTGTGCAAAATTAGCATGAAATTTGCATGTTTGATTCATTAAATGTCAAGTTCTGAGTCACAAATGGAAGCAAACTGGGCTGCACAGTCCTCATTTTACGTTTATGTGAAATGCTAACAGTGTAACGCATCAGATTAGACTAATTAATGGTTGTAAGCTGAGGTGCTTTCTCCTGGTCCCCTCAGTGGAGTCGGCCTGTTGTTCCAAATCTTTTTCTGTTCTGCTCTAATTGTTTTAGCTGCCCCCCCCCCACCCCCACCCCCGAGAGATAACGACAGTCTAATCACAGCACAGAAGTAGGGAAATACCCAGAGGTTGAGAGGTTGAAACTGTAGGCCTGCAGGAATACCCAGGTGATATTCCAACACGGATACACGTGTGTGGCTCCAAGGTGGGCATGTCAGATTATCAGCCCGGAAGCTGACCTCAAATCTCCCGTCCCTCGATTAGTGCAGGCTTTCAGATGAATTTGTTTTGCTGAAGCAGTGACCTTTTAGAAAATTGTTTTTGGTGGAGGGTGAGGGGTGGTGCATTTTATTTCGTAACTGATTGTTTATTTTTTATTTTTTTATCTGAAAATCTGTCTTGATTATTGTGGATTTTTTGTGTGTGTGCTTCTCAGGATGAAACTGGTGCCTATCTCATCGACAGAGACCCCACATACTTCGGGCCGGTGCTCAACTATTTGAGGCATGGCAAACTGGTGCTCAACAGGGATTTGGCAGAGGAAGGTAATACTAATGCATGTCTTATAATCAGTACTTTAATTTAAAATAAACTACTACAATAGGGTTTAAAGTTATAAAACACAAAATTATGGAGAATAAAGCCCAGCTTTTTCCTTGCATAATATTTATTTCTAATGCTCATCTCTGCAATGCTTCAAGTTTTTGAATTTTATTTATAAACGATTAAAATCTTAGTTAAGGGCATTAAAATATGGGTCTGGTCAAACGGATAAAAATAAATTTCATCGTTTTCTGCACCTTTTTCCTTTTAAAGTGTCATTAATTTGAGAGAAAATATTACAGGAATGATTTTAGAGAATTTAAACCGCTCTGTTCAGTAGAGATGCACCGATCCACCTTTTTCACTTCCGATCCGATACCGATGCCCAATTGGCTTGTATCGGTCGATACCGATCAGATACCAATCTGATTCATAGAAACAGTGCTGAATTATTGATATCATGATCATCATTGATTTTATATGAGGCTGTAATAATCTCCTCAAGTACAATTTGTTCAAATATATGCATGCATGACCAAAAAGGCAACTTGAGGTAAGTTTTATTAATGTTGGATAAGTTTTAAAGTTAGAATTAAATTCTGCTAAAACGTGTTTTTTATTCCTAGCTTTAAAGTGGATATTGAAGTGATTTATTTAAGTGATTAAAGTTATTTTATTTTTTTTTTAAATAAGGGGCAGACATAAGATTTTTCGTCTTTCTGCACTCTTTTCATTCAATGTTTTTTTTTGACAAATTTTTGTTTCTTTTAAATGAATGAATAAAATAAAATGTTAAATGGCTTCAAACATCTGCTAAGTTCATGGTATAAACCAACAGACATGTTCCTGTTTTTAGTTATTTTCATCACTTTATAATGAAGCTGTTTTTGTTTTTGTTTTTTTATTTTATTTATTTAATTTTCTTGTAATTTTCAAATCACATGTTTTTTTTTATGATTGTCTACTGTTGTACTGATAAATATCTCCTGGAGGGTAAACTATATCTAGGCTGCAAGTATCAAGCTGTGAAATCCTTTGTTTTCTACAACTGGTAGTGGTTTGTCATTAATTATGATGAAGTTTAGCAACTTCTCTGTAAACATTCGAGCTCCGGGGCTTCAGCGATGTCTTCTTCTTGTTCAATCTGAAGCAGGCAGTCTGATTTCGGTGAGCTGTGCTCAGTCTGTCCCTCCTCAGAGACGGGCAGATTGGGCGCGGCTGGCCGGGGTCGGGCTGCCCTGCTACGGGTTCAGCGAGAGTAGCTCCCCGCTGAAGCCACGGAGCTCAAATATCCAACTTAAAACTTAACTTTAACGTGGTTTAATGTGGCGCTGTGGCCCTGCAGACATTGCACGATGCTGTCTTGTTTTGTGGTGTTTCTAGTGTAAAATACTTCCACACAGCGGACATGTTTAGATGAAAAGTTGGTTAGCCGTTAGCCACAGTGCTGCTAACTCAGCCCTCACGTTGTAGCTGGCTGCAAACTATGAACTGGATTTCCTGAATGTGAGGCGGGTCTTATTACTCTGGGTTCATGAGACACGCCGCCGTTCAGGAAATCCATTCCATAGTTTGAAGCCAACATGCATCATGGATCGGAAATCTCTGCAGGTTGGATCGGAAAATGGATCGGTCACATTGTCACGATACCCGATCCAGAAGTTTTCCCTAATATCTGTACCGATATAGATATCGGCTCGGTGCATCTCTACTGTTCAGGCTTATCTATTTGGTATTTTTGGTATTGGTAATTAGCCAAAGGTGAAAAGTACTTCTGTCTGAAATAAAATGTCTTTTGTTTTTTAGGCGTCTTGGAGGAAGCTGAATTCTATAACATCACATCATTAATAAAACTCATCAAGGACAAGATCAGGGAACGGGACTGCAAAACATCACAGGTACGTCAATTTCTACTTGAGTAAATAACTTTAGCAGATTTGAAAAACAAGTGCAGCAGTTTTTATGTTTACAGAAAGTTAAATGAACTCATAAGTTACATCTAAACCCTATTGATATGTTTTTCTTTCTCTTCAGGTTCCAGTAAAGCATGTGTATCGGGTGCTGCAGTGCCAGGAGGAGGAGCTGACACAAATGGTGTCCACGATGTCTGATGGCTGGAAGTTCGAACAGGTAACTCTCATCCTGCGGAGTCGCGGCAGCAGTCCTGTCATGTGCTTCACTCACCCTGCTATGCTCACGATAAACCATAAAGTCCAGATCTTCATGTTGGAAATTAATTGAAAAGCCAAACGACAACAACTCGGGATCTTTCTCAATATGTGCATACATGATCCGGGCATGCCTTCTGTGCTCTGATTGGTTGTTGCAGCTTGTCAGTATAGGTTACGGGCGAGCCCACCAGTCAGAGTTTCTGCTGATTGTGTCAAGGGAGGTGAAGGGAGAGGAGTCTGCTTTGCCAAACAACAGCGGAGAGGTGTGTCCCACGAATTTCTGTCCACGGGCTGATCACTGCATGGTCCCTATGTTGTCCACACACACACCTTTAGCCATTGTTTGTCCCAAGTAGACACATAGCTGTTGGTTGTTTAGCTGTTTTTTTAGCCAATTCTTTTCAGTGTTCATTTGTACCGCTTGCTCACCCGTGAAGCAAAGAAAACCTGACACCTTTTGTTTTTGTTTGTGATTTTAGTTGTTCTTTTTTATTTATTTTTTGCTTTGCTTGGGTGTTAAATTATGTGAACATATGTGATTTGATCAGAAATAACTTTACACAATTTAGAAGAGAAACCAGAAGGTCCTTCCTGTTCCAAAACCTCTGGAGAGAGGAGCTTTACTGGCCTAGTAAACAGCTTGTTGTTTAGCTAAAATTTACTCTGAAACTCTTCTGAATTTGCGCAACATGGAGACGGTTGGCAGCTTTGACGAGCGTTCGCTACTGATTCTATTTGTTCCACAGTCCGAGTCTGCTTCACAACAAGAAGTATCTGGCAGCAGCGACTAATGAGGCGATGCATGTCTGAACATGCACACCTGGTTACAGGCAGTGCACATGTCGTCTGCAGCACGCACACACAAAACGTTCAGCAGAAAAGCACATATTTAACGGCAGGAGTTGCTCTGTTCGTTGTCTCATGCCGTTTGCTTTCAGGTGCGATGGTTCCATTTGTCGTTTAGTCCTGAATAGTATGAACAGAAACAATATATGGATTTATTTAAATGTTAACCAAAATAGTCCATGCTCAATAATTTGAATGTTACTTTTGTGAAACACATTTTTTTCCATTCATCTGATATAATCTGTCAATAATTTCATCAAAGCTGTTGAATAAATATCTTTTTTTTTAGTGCAGATTTAAATTAATGTGACGATGAAGGTGTTGGAGAAACTTGTACATTTATAATTTGAATCGTACCACTACTAATAGACAAATCTCCAGTTTCTTAAAAACAGGTGTGACTTGTTGGCTCAGAAGTGTTTTTGCGGTTTGTGCTTGAATTTATCTTGGAAGGAATTACAGGTGCTAGTTTCTCAAATCTTGTGCATATTTGTTTGAAACCTTTCTGGTTCTATCAAGTCAAATGCACCATTATTTATTTATACATTTTTAACCAGCATGTTTGTGTGTGGGTCTTTCTGCACTGTTATTCTTTCTGTAATGGTGTTCTGATCGTCTTTTATTTCTACTAGATGTTTTGTTTTTTTGAGACGGTGATCGTTTTATTTCACTGTGACTGCTTCAATAAATTTTTTTTTTCTTTCTTTCTCTGATCTCTTACATGTTTTTATTTTTGGATCGTCTGCAAGTAAAAAAAAACAAAAAACAGTTTTAAAGTAAATTTGGGGGTGGATGTAAAAATGCAACATTCACACATTTTATAAATGGTTTTAAATGTTTAACATGCAGATTTTAGATTTATTTAAACGTCTTAAGTGACCTTATTGGTCTCGGTCGATCACAGAAGTGTTCAGTCCTGGTCCTCAAAGGCCACACTCCTGCATGTTTTAAAGGTTTCTCTTCAACACACATGATTTGAATCAATGGGGGATTAACAGGATTCTGCAGAACATGAAGAAGCAATTCAACCACTGAATCAGGCTCGTGCAGGGAATCCAGTAAAACATGCAGGACGGTGACCCTCCAGGGCGACGATTGGACACGTTTGGTCTATCATGTATCGCTCTATCATTCCTTCCCTATTTTATATTGATATCCATCATCTGTAAGTGTTTAATCTGAACAGCAAACCTAAAAGAACAAGCTCATGTTTAGATTGGTCTAATTTGCTGAACATGTTTTGTGCTCTGTGCTCCTTCACAAAACTTCCTTGTTTGATTTTCAACACCTGTTTTGTTATTTTAAAGCTACGTTTGCCAGTTTTCGCCTTGACTTCTTCACTCTAACCCAGCTCCTCTTCTGTTCTCGTGTGTCTTTCTAGCTGGTCAGCATCGGCTCCTCTTACAACTACGGAAACGAAGACCAAGCCGAGTTCCTGTGCGTAGTGTCCAAGGAGCTGCACAATCAGTCATACGGGACCAACAGTGAGCCCAGTGAGAAGGCGAAGGTAAGTGTGTGGAGCGTCTTTTTTTTTAAATTCATCCTAACGTGGCTGGAAGATGGTTTGTGCTAACTGCTTAGACTGTGTTGCATTAATGAATGCCCTACCAGGGGAGAGAAGGCACCACTAATTTATTAATGAGGAATCACTATGAAGGAGTGCACTGCATACATTAAGATGTTCTCTGGAGGGGAGGGGAGGTGGGGAGGGAAGAGCCTGAATAATGTCGCAGTATGAGGACAGAATTATTGTAGACTGAAACTAAACTTTTTTTTGTCTGCTCTTAAACCGTACAAAAACGTTTGATTGAATTAATGTTTTGTTTTTTATTTGTGTCCTGTATGATCTAAACTACCAGGCAGATGTTGTAATCCATGTAGGAGGAGGATTAGGAGAGCACAGGTCTGCAGATTAGTGGAGCTGTTGGCAGGGTCTAACATCTTAAAGGGTTAGGGATTGATGGAGCCAGCGAGCTACGAGAAATTCACACCTCACTCACTGATGGAGCCGGCTAATTTAAAAATGGCCGTGCAGGAATTACATTGTTACTGCTCTTTTTAAAAAAAATTTTTTTGATTAATCCATTCCATAAAAGAGATCAAATATTAATATGATTGCATAAATATAATTTTTTGCCCCTTCCGGGAGCATCATATGAGTCCAGCTACAGGCAGGAGGTTGAACACCTGGAGAGCTGGTGCAAAGAGAATAACCTTCACATCAATGTGAAGAAGACAAAGGAGATGATCGTGGACTTCAGAAGGAACAAACACACCTACACCCCCATGAACATAAGAGGATCTGCAGTGGAAGTGGTCTCCAGCTACAAGTATTTGGGTGTGCACCTGAATGACAACCTCAGCTCACTGTCATTGCCCACGTGAGCATTGAAGTCCCCCAGCAGAACAAGGGAGTCCCCAGGGGGTGCACTTTCCAGTGGGGCAACAACATGTAGATGAACAGATGCTGGGATGTATTCATCATTTAACGCGAGTTCCTCATTTTTCTGGACTGAATAAAAAGTGCACTGAATTTAAGGAAATGCAAACGGGAGACGTCATTTAAATTTGACCCATCAAAATGAATGCGGTCATTTATTTACAGAATCAAATTTAACATCAAACATTTACATTAATTTGGCAAATTATGAAAATAACAACATAAGCAATCAATCAGGAAAAATCATACGGCCATGATTTTTCCGTTGCTGCACCACAGACATGTATAAAACTGTACAATTATGACTTTTACCCACACGGATGTGAATAAGCACTTTACACAGACATTTCTAAATATCTGGGAGAATTTCTACTTCATAGGAAAGTTTAAAGATGGAAAGAAGTTTAGAGGGAGTAAAGGATGGTGTGTGAGGGAAATTAAGTGTTTTCCAGAACCGACACTCTCCATCAGAAGCCCAGCTCGCCTCGGTACGCTTGGTAGGAAACTTGACCCATTACCTCTCTGATGATAATCAGCAGATATGGTGTTCCGTTAACGCTACCGGTCCAGCGTCTCCTTAGAATGGCTGTTGCCCGTCAGAAGTAGTGGCGAGGCTCTGTTCGACACACATTCACCTCAGTGGAAAATGTTATAATCCCATGGAACTCGGAAGAGCTTCGTTGTCATGTCAGGAACTCCAACAGCACTCCATCAGAACTTTAGCTCTCGTGTAGTTTACAGAACTCCCACAGAACTCTTGAAGTCTGACAACTCTCCAACTCTGTAACTCCGTGAGTCCCTGAGTCTGTGTAAACCAGGAAGTACTGACATTTTAAAGACTCTTTCCCGGTTCACTTTTTGGGATTTTTCATTGGTCAGAAACGACCAGAAGGGGTGTGTTTTTGTGACGTAAGGGGTTAGAGACAGCGAGAATTGTTATGAGACAGCTCAGAAATGTTCTCACAGACCGAGAGGGTTCTGTTTTGGCGTGCCTAAGACACAGGTGCAAAACATCTCTATTTACGTCTGAGAGGATTCTAAAACATGACAGTTTTAACATAACAACTTGTTTTTCGTTTGACTGTAACCTTGTAAACGCACACACTTGCTCATTCAAAAGCAGAAATCAGAAAAATGCATAAACTCTGCACAGCTTTTAACATGAGAATAAAATCATTACTCAGTTAATAAAATTGATTAGTTCACTGCAACATCTAAAATGGTTTGAACTAAGACACTTTGATTATCAACATTTGTAAGATAGTAATGATAATAAAAAGAGAGTGTTCTTTTCACTTGAATCTTCAAGAAAGAAAGTCTCAGGATGGGTGAACCTGTATTTATGGAGTCAAATACATGAAATGACAGCTTCTGTCCCACAAGGTTCTAAAGGTCAAGAGTTTTGACCTTAGACTGGGTTTCGACGTAGGCTTAGTCCACTACAAACACCACCAGCCTGATCAAGAAAGATCATCAGAGAGACTACTTCCTCAGGCGGCTGAGACGAGATGGTCTGGGAAGCTCAGTCCTCACCTCCTTCTACAGGTGTGCAGTGGAGAGCATCCTGTGCTCCAGCATCAATGTGTGGCATGGAGGCTGCACAGCTGCAGAAAGAAAAGCTTTGCAGAGAGTGGTGAAGGTTGCACAGAAATCTGTTGGAGTCAGTCTCCCCACCATCACAGACATCTACACCTCCAGATGCAGGAAGAGGGCCACCTGCATCATGAAGGACCCCACTCACCCAGCACACACACTTTTTGCCCCGCTCCCCTCAGGAAGGAGGTTGAGGAGCATTAAGTGTAGAACCACTAGACTGAGGAACAGCTTCTACCCTGAGGCTGTTAGACTCATGAATCTCTAACCAGAATAATCACTGTGAAAAATCACCATGTTGCTGCTGATCTGTTTCATGTTGCTGCTGATCTGTTTCATGTTTGTGTTCATTCATGCTCATCTGCTCACACCGACTCATTTGTGCTGCTGTTCAGCGTAATGTTTTTGTACTATGAGTGCTCAGTGTATATTTAGTTGATGTTTTTCTTGGTTCATGTCTTGGATCTTATTACTGTTTTTCTTTTAACATTTTATTGTTGGATGTAACTGGGACCCTGTGTACATAATCTCGTTCCACCACATGTACCACATGTGGTGCGAATGACAAATAAATCTCTCTGAACCTCTGAATTATATCAAAACAAAATTCATCATGATGATCTTTGCATTACAAAACAAAAGCAGTCTTTAAAAATTAGTGTCAATGACCAGAAACGGTTGTAACAAACAGAGCTTTACTGAAAGCTGTATTTTGTATACTTTATTTGTAGCTTTGTTTTAATTTATGTATAAATGAGTAGCATCCTATTTTTCATCCCTTTTCCCGTTATTTCCATTTTCACCTGGTTTCCTCTTCCCAAAATTGGACGTCTTCCTTTGTCTCCGTTATTTTACGTTCCTTGTCTTCTTCTGGGCATGTCGCTCAGAGGACGAAGAGGCACATCAAGAAATGAACGACGGATTAGGATGAGCACTTGTGACTCACTGGTGATTGTCAACTGCTCGTAGCCCTTCCACCAGAACCCTCCTCAGTTTGTCCTCTTTCTGCTCCAAGCTATTTTTCCATTTGTTTTCAAAGACGACAAGAGCAAATATAAGATACTTGCAGGAATGCTAAGTGACAGAATCCAGGCTGTAAATCGGCTTTAGAGTATGAAGTGTTGCAACCAAAGAGCGATCAAAGGCCAGATGGTTGTAGCTGATATGGATGCCCAGCTACAGGTGAAGCTCTCTTTGAAACCTGACGGGAAGCGCTCCATTTGTCTCTGACTCTTATCATTATTGACATGCTTGCTGTTTAATGGAGGGCAAGCTGAATCATGCGCTGCTGCATCGTGATTCATTCCCCCTCAGAGCGACATTTACAAGAACAAGAGGTCCAGTGGGCCCCCTCTTTCATTCTACTGCCCAGAAAAGTGGTAGGCTGTAACAGAGATGAGTTAAAAGGAGTTCATTCCTAAACCCTGTAGTTTATTTATTCATTAAATTAATTTTATTTTTTACTTTTTGGATTTCCATTTGAATTGCTGTATTGCTAATAGAGGTGGGACAGCTGAGTGCATCAGTCCATGCAATGTGGTGACTGCCAGAATAAATTCTTGCTTAAATAAAGTTTAACACATACAATCTCCAAAAATCCATCTCCCATTTGTTCAGAAGTTGCTAAATAATTTAAACTGACTATTTAAGACGCAGCAGGAAATATCCAAATATGATCAAATCCCTGTGACTTGTACAACTATTAATTTGTTTATTTAAATTATCTCAATACTTATTCCAGCTCTTAACTGTTGAGAAAGTGCTTTATTTGTGATATTGCATTTAAATAATCTTCTGTTATTTTTTTAGTTGCTTCTGTAAAAGGAAACTTTAAAAAGAACAAAATACCTCTTTTAGATCATGAAGTAACTTTTTCTCTCCATATTTTGTTTGGAGTCGACGACACAAAAACGTCAGTGTTCACTTCTGAGTTACAGATTATCTCCTTCCAGACGTGTTTTTTAAAAATATTAATAGACTGTAAACATCTTAATGCCACATAGATCTGTTAATTACACCAGAAATGTCTACAGAATGGAAAGAGTTGTACAAAGGAGAGTTTAAACCGAATGTTTTTCCATCGTTAAGGTTGATCCCGCTCGGCGAGGGTGCACAAATAAATCAGCCAACAGATTATAAGAAAAAATGCTGAATGCTGGAGTTTGTATAAAAAGACTTGATGTGATGTTTTTCTTGCTTTTCTTTTCTGCAGATTCTTCAGGAACGGGGTTCCCGTATGTGAGCAGGACGCAGTATTACGAGCTCCAGGTGTTATGATGCAAACCTATCATCTTTGTGGACGAACGCTCAGCACAGCAAAGATTTAAAACGGGGGGGCGTGGGGGTGTTGTTTTTTTGTCTTCCCCTTCATAGTTTGTTTTTATTTCTGGGTGTAAATAAGCCTGTTTACTAACAGTTTGTGCCTGTACGTTTAAACTGGACCTTTTTTTTTGTTTGTTTTGTTGAATTTGATGAACTAGTGGCAAGTATTTGATTATTTTTTCTTTTTAATCTGAAACTAAGTAAATGTAATCTGCAAATGGTTTATGCTATATAATATATGGCCATCATCACACAAGGCCAACAATTCACTCAGGGTCATCTAATGAGTTAAGTCGATATCATTTAACTCCGAGAGGGGGGGGTCCTGTAAGGGATCAGTGTAACAAACAAAATCATCGCTTAATATAGACCAAGAATGGACGTGCGCATTTACACGAGTTAAGACTATTAAAATATTAAATTATGCCCAACATCCCACTGACGCGTTCGTTTTAAGATTTTAAACTGAAATTTTCTTTTTTCTTTAGAAGATGACTTTATCAAACCGCCCAATAGTATAATCGTTATATGAGTGTCGAGGTATATTTAACCTCTTCACACCTGAGGCACCCTTTAAACATGAGTTAGGACAGAGGTTCCCAACCCTGGTCCTTGAGGAACACCATCCTGCATGTTTAAGTTGTTTCCTGCTCCAACACCTAACTCGGTGATTTACCGTATTTTTTGGACTATAAGGCGCACTGGATTATAAGGTACATAAAGCGAAACAAAACGGATAAGTCAAACTGTATTCAACTCATTCCCAATAACCACATAAAATTGGTTCAAGGTCAATAAGCACAACCAGGATCAATACTTGAGGCGCACTGCATTTTAAGGCTCACTGTCGATTTTTGAGAAAATTAAAAGATTTTAAGTGCAACTTATTGTCTGAAAAACATGGTAATTACTCCTGCAAGTTCTGCAGAAGTCCAGTAATCACGCATTCATTCAAATCAGGTGTGTCAAAACAGGGAAACGACTAAAACGCAGGATGGTGTTCCTCAAGGACCAGGGTTGGGAACCTCTGAATTCATATGTCGCAACAGGTCTTGTTTTCAGACGTCTGACTCTGATGTAAGATTTAGAAGTGTCTAAACTCAAAACAGCACAACGGAGCATTTCTTAGAACCCAGTTCTCCACAGATTGTGTTAATGTTTTGAGTAGAGAAAAAAAAAAAACTTTACATTTAACGAACTGCCAAAACTTATTTCTAATGTGAATTCTGTTAGGCAACATTTTTTACTCTCGTAAAAAAAAAAAAAAAATTCATTGCAGTTCAGGCTTTATTTTTCCTCTCTACATCGATATATCTTTAACTCTTATTTTACGTTTGAGGGTCATCTATTATTTTTAATTTGAGAGGAAGTATTTGTAGCGTTTGTGGACTGGAACTATTTTAGGTGGTGGTGAAGGACTTCTCTTCATATCAAGAGTGTTTTTGTTTTCATGTAAATAATCCAAATTCAATACTAATATTTATCTCTTAAAGAAAAGTTGCACGTTTTGTACACTGTATAGAGGACACGGCTTCAAGGGGGAAGCTGTTCGTACTGGATCTTAAACACAAAAGAGCAAATTTTGGTAATGTTAACTTCTGTTTTCGCATTGTTTGTGGGGGACTGGAGAGTTTTCTGACCTGCAGCAGCTGATGATGCTGAATTGGGCGTTTTTCTCAGACAAGACGCCTGGAACATATTTTGATAACAATAACAAAGCTATACTTGGCTGGCTATGAAATTGACTGTTACATTTAAAATGAGATTTTATTTTTTTTTTTTTCAGTGTAACATTCTTAGCATTTTGAATTGTCTATTTCATAAGCAGGAATACGAGCACTACAGTGGAGGACGCTGTCTACACTGCTTGCAGCCTGTACCGTTCTCTATTGTAAATATTGCTGCTTTTTTATTTTTAAGAAAGTTATCAGGTTTGTGTGATTTTTTTTATTTTAATTTTTTATTTTTATTTTTTAGTTTATATATAGGTTGAACATTTCATTCACAATTAATCATTTGGTGTTGCCTTTTTTTTCCCAGTGACCAAAATCCAATGTCTTATGTGTAATTTAGACATTGTTCTTCGTGTCAGGGACAAGCAAACGTTTCTTAATGCTGGCACACTTTGTACAGTGAGACTTGTTAACGACACACAAACCTCCAGTTAATCACATGCACACTTAATACACTTGACTAAACCAGTTTTTATACAGTCTTGAGAATAAGTATGGATGCATGATTTATTTTTTATTTTCTATAGATTTCCACACAGATGTATAAATACACACAAGGGCTTTTAAATTGCAGATCTGCAAAGACGTCTAATCAACGTAGACTGGATTTCCTGCCAGAGCTAGGCTATGTTTACATTCGCTGTAGTATTCTGAAGCCTTCCAATTATGTACTGTCTTGCACTCCTCCACACGTTAACCTTCGTCTGACTTGTGTAACATCACAAATGGCAACTAAGCACTCTTTGGGCTATCACTCCAACTTGCAGACTTGTTTAAGATGCCCCATCCTTTTCTAATCTCCGATGCTTGAACCTTGTAGAAAATCTTGTTTTCCACATTTATGATAGCTGAAGTAATTGTAGAACGTACGTTTGCTCAGAGCTACTGTTTATGGGCTTTTCTTGAAGACCTCTTCAGTACATATTTGACCCGTTTTGTAAATTTGACGTTTTGTTATACGGTATCGAACCGCTTACCTTTTTAGCAGCGACACAGCATTTAATGCTCTTCTCACACAGGTCGTTTCATTAAGTATCTTGACATCAATAATCATTCATCGAATGGACAAAAGTTATCAAATGTGTAGCCTAATACTTTTAAGTGCCCAGTCTGTTTTGCATTCAAGTCATTACCCACAAACCACTAATGCATGATTGATGATCACAACTTTTAATCAGAGGGAATGAATGTCATTTATCCTCAAGCTATCAGATACATTATTGAATATGGTTCTCATATCACCACATGGATCACTTCTATATGATCTTATGCAATGTTAAAAATGTACAAACTTCAGTGCGAAGGGGTAAGAGATAGATCTATATGGTCTTGCATAAATAAACCCAATAAAAAAATGTTGTCATTCATATGTCTGTTTGTTTTATTTCTCATTATTTTTAACTATTTAATGAAGATGATTTTCAATAGACTTGCCTTTATTGGGACCGAGTCTTCCTGAAATTTATTTTTAAGTAAATGGCGACCTCTTGTGTCATACTTATAAATTAATTTCCTTTGCTTAGTAGGCTGGAACAATGCCTGTTTAAATGTATTTTTCCTGTAGTTTTATATACGCACATGAAACTAAAAAGCGTTCTCAAATACGATGTGAAATTTATAAATGGGAACACAAAATGTCATTGGATTCTTAAACACTGCTCGTTAGGGTCTTCTTTCTGATCAAAGATGAAACACGTTCCAAGATAGAAATCCCACTGCGGGAACGAGACCAGCCGGTCTTGTATAATAAATTAAACCAAAGTATTTATTACGTCTATTGGGATTGAAACTATTAAATTATGTCATTTATGATTATTAGAGGAAACAAGTTTTCTTGTGTATTTTCATTATCGTCCATGGTTTAAATAATAAACAATGTCAGAACAGCAACGTTGAACGCGTCTAAATTGTGTTTGAAAATTAATTTTACGCAACTACATGCTGTAGTTATTCCACAAAATTATGAAGTTTAAAAAAAAAAAAAAAAAGGTCGGGAGAATCCTTTAATTTTTATTCTTGGAGCTTTAAAACCCAACCGATAAATCGGTATCGGATCGTTTTTTGGGGGGGCATATGAACAAAACCGGAAGTGACGGATGGATGATTGTTTCAGTTCGCTGTTTTTGGCTCTACTCGGAGCGGCTGGTTTTTCCGGAGGGAAACTTTACAAGGTTTAACAGGATTCAAGCACGATCAATTCATTTCGCTTAATTAGCAAAGACAGTACAACCATACTGAGAGGTAGGAGCACGCCCTAATGGCGGATATCTTATCTTTTTTCTTGTATCTTGATATTTTGACCGCTTCACTTTGCGCCATTTTCGCTAGTTTGGTAACGCATATATGCGCCTTACAGCTCTGGCGTTCTTTGTCCCTATCCCTTAATGGATATTGACATGTTAAAAAAATATATTTATAAACTTGCCTGATAAAGCAGCAATTAGAGGTGATGTTGAGCGGTTGATGACCGGCGATGAATACTTCTGTCGACCCAAATTGTGCCTAAATCAAGTGCAGTTGCGCATTTTTGTGCTGCATCAGGCCGTGTCGGACGCTAACCGCGATTTTGGCGCACATGAGTTAGCTTGATAAGCTAACAAGCTAGCTTTTGCTAGCCAAATGTTCTCGGCGCTCAGTTTCTAAACGTTTGTTGGCCGTAACTTTACATTACAGGTCAGTGAGTATAAAATAAATTAAATGCTACATATTTGTGGTCCACTTTAAAATTACAAGTGGTAATTTTTGTGAACAAATTGGAAGAGAACGTTTCATTTAGCCCTGTTTTTACCACCGGCGGCTAACTTGATTAGCTTTCCAAAACCGTTGCTTTCAGACATATTTCATAAGGGCTAATTAAAACAAACCAGCGTCACGTTTTAAATGTACTATAATTTGTGAAATTGTATTTGAATGGAGTTAATAAATATTGAGATATCGGTTTAGGCAATGTTGTGTTATTGCTGCTGTAGATATCGCCCAAAAATGTTTTAATTCAACTGAATTTGTTTAAGCTGTTTAGCATCAAGTGAATACAATCCTGCCCTTTGATAAGTTGGTAAGTCTCATCAGCCTAGATGGATAGTTGGTATTCATCTCTAATTGTGTCCAGGTGATCTTAGGATCAATTCAAATACAAAATGGAAAAAGATTAAATGTGTACAGTCCTCGAGTGTGAATTACTGGTTTAAGATGCACTAATGGTGCTTTGGTTTAAACTTCCTGAGCTCATCGTTTTTCTTAGTTCATATCTTAGATCTTATTACTGCTTTTTTACATTTTATACTTTTGTTGGATGTAGCTTAAGATTCTTCCTGCCCACAGCAATCCGCATCTAACAACTCTTTAATGAAACCAGGATGATGAGTTACATTTAATTTACCTCTGGGATTAATAAAGTATTTTTGAATTGAATTGAGTTTAATTGAACTGGGACCTTGTGTACACCATCGTTCCACCACATGTACCACATATATGACAAAAACTACACTTATTACTACACTCCAGTTGGAAGCTGCTCTGACATTGTTTCTGTCTTATTATATGAAAATAGTCATAAACAATCAAGGCTCCAACTGGCTTCTTTGTTTTAATCCGTTATTGTTTGGAATATGGCCAAAACATGTATCCTCTAAATGTTGAGTCAGGTTTAATGACTCAAAGCCTACATAAAGAAATTCAAAGCTTCTATTTTTAGTCTTATTAAACATTTTTTTGTTATTAATTCTAATTCCCGTTCGTTTCAGGAGTTCGAACACCATGTCAGGTATTGCATTGAGCCGGCTTGCCCAGGAGCGCAAAGCATGGCGGAAGGACCATCCTTTTGTGAGTATTGTCTCCGAAAATTCACAGATCGAGTTTTGACCGCAACTAATTACTCCATAGTAATTGCTTTTATTTAATTTTTCCAGGGATTTGTAGCCGTACCAACAAAAAATCCAGACGGAACCATGAATCTTATGAACTGGGAATGTGCTATCCCTGGAAAAAAGGGGGTAAAATGTCTAAAAAAAAAAATTATCTTAACCACATTGCTGATTGCTAACTGCTAATTCATTCAATCTTTTTTTTTTTATTTATACGGATTAGTCTCGTTGAGTCATAAGGACTAATTTTCAAGCGAGACTTGTCATAAAGTAAATGTTTCTCTACAGTAGATACATCTACAGTAAACATACCCTTTAATCTGTTGTACAACACGGCTAGGCTTATTCTTGAAATACTAATCAGATGTGTGTTTTCTTAGACTCCATGGGAAGGAGGTCTGTTCAAACTGCGCATGTTATTCAAGGATGACTACCCTTCTTCACCTCCAAAATGTGAGTTGATTTGTCCCGTCCGTACTCGGTATAAACACAATTTAACAGTTATTTACAAAAGCATTCGTTGATGTAACTGCTTTTATTATGGTATCAAATTAATTTGCTGTTTTGAAAGAGTAACAAAGTTAAAGACTTGGAGCCGCACGCTACAGTTTTTGTTCTCCGTGCAGTTTTTACTACCAGGCAGGAATCCTGTTTAAATTAAAACAAAGTTTCTTGTAAAATAAGAAACATAGAACATGGGAAAATGTTCCTGCTTTTTCAGTACACCTAAACATTGTAGCACATGTGTAAATTGTGATGAATCATTTTGACCATTTGTCACTGAATTATGCAACTCAAACTAAACGTGAATCATTTTTAATTGTCTTCATGGAAAAGCCTGTCGGGCAATTATTACATCAGTGAATTATAGACCAGGCTAAAAAACTTAAGTTTGTCTTGTCTTTTTATAGTGATGGTATTTAAATGATAAGTTAAAGGGGTAGTCTAGTCATCTTGACCTTTTTCAAAGGTTTATCAATAGTTTGTGCCTTATTCGCTGTGACATCAGTCATAAATCACAAACCAGTGTTTCCCGTAGTTTACTTCCCATGCCAGGGCACTTATATCCTCTGTGATTGCTGCAAACTGTGGAGAAAGAGGCAAATTTATATTATAAAGGCTCATTTTCATTGATATTGTTTTTCAAGTTTATAAAATAACTCGTCTCAAAACAACCTTGGTGTAAAAAAAAAATAACCGTGCTACATTAGCACTTTTTTTTTTAAACCAAGAAATGTTTGTTTTTACATAGGTGTGCTGAATATAACGACCATGTTTAGAGCCAATGGTGCAGAGGCTGCTGAATGATCAGCACGTCTAATGGATGTAGAAGTTTACTCAACTGTTGGTGGATTGAAACGTTCAGCAGCCTCTGCACTATCGGTGTGAACATGGTCTACACTGAGCACGCACATTAACACAATTGTTGTTGGTTGAGGAGACGGCAACAAACTAGGTGGTGCTGTGCATAATTGTATGTTGTTTTTGAGAAAGTGTTGCTTTAAAAGCCTAATAAATGGGCCCTTGTTTGGCTAGTCGTTAGCCTAGCCTGGATGGAAATGTCTGCTTCCTTCGTACTCCATGCTGTATAGATGTTTTTCTATTGTCCAGTGACTGTTCTACACAGTCTTTAGTTTTCCTTATATCTGAGTGGAACCTTGGTTTGAGCGAGTTGTCATATCCTTGCTGTCTGAAACTTGCCACCAAACAAAATAAAACACTCGCCGTCCTCTGCCAGAACTGCTGTGGCCGAGCCGAGGCCACCTTCCCCCCCGCCGGCAGAGCCTGTAAATCGAGTCCACTTGGTTTACTTCTGAATTCTGTCATTACCAAAAAGCACAAACGTCTGCACCTCCTCATAGTACCGCAGTGTTGGTTTAGGTGTTGCCGTTGTAATGGATGTGGTATGCATGGTTTTAAAGTAAACGATAAAAATGAATGTGGTATTTGTGAAGTTTTTAAAAAATTGTTTGATTCTTGTGAAGGAGACACTCCCATGACTGACATAGCTCTCTGACCAATCAGTGGCTTGCAGTCTGCTGACGTTAAATATTCAGTTCGCTTGAAACCTCGGCCGAGTAGGTTCTAAAAACAGAGCTTGAAGTGGTTGGGACCACCCACTGGTGAGACTCTGAACCCACGCCTGGTCATCCAGAGTCAAGCTCTTGTTAAAGGATCAGTAGACTGATATCACAGCTGATTAGGTATTATTACAGAACATCACTTTAAAAATGGCCAGACTATCCCTTTAAAATCATCTGAATATTTCAGATGTGGAAAAACTGAAGCTAATGCCTTCATGTGTAAATGCTCAGAGGTGTTGAGGTTTACATGAGATGTGGTTTGTTGTTTCAGGTAAATTTGAGCCGCCGCTCTTCCATCCAAACGTGTATCCATCAGGCACAGTATGCCTATCTATTCTAGAGGAGGACAAGGACTGGAGACCAGCCATCACAATAAAGCAGGTTTGGATTACTGAGCATTCACACAGCTGGCCCTGCATCATTTATTTATTTATTTTAGTTATTTAGTTTTGTCCACCACTGTACATTATCAATTTTAACACTGACCCCACAGATTTGTCACAGTAGTTGTATTTATAGTCACAAAAATTATGACCGGCTTTACAAATCTAATGTTTTGGCCTCAATAACAAACTGTTATTTTGATTGTGTCCTGTAGATCTTATTAGGCATCCAAGAACTCCTAAATGAGCCAAATATCCAGGATCCAGCCCAAGCAGAGGCTTACACAATCTACTGGTGAGGAACATTTAATTCCATCTCATTTTGATTTCCAAACAGAACACGAATATCCAAAGTAAAGTGTTTCAAATCATTACTGTCACTCTTTATCACTTTGTCAAAAAACATTTTTAACTAATTATACTGATTTAAGCATGTGGGATTTAGGTTTCAAATTGTTTTTATTTGTCGATCTCTTGCCAAAAGGCTGTCGGTATTCTCATTTATAAACAGGACACGATTGAATGTTTGAGTTCAGTTGGATTTTTTAGGTTGTGTTTAAAACGTTGTTTAAAATATTTAATGTTTGAGTTGTGTTAACAATAATTTACATGGTTTCTAGGCAGTTTTGAACAATTTGGATTTCAATTCCAGGTTTTGAGGGCAAAAACAAAGCATAGAAAGTATATTCTTAATTACCTAAGAGTTGCAGTAATTCCTGTATTGTTCCTGCCCCGTGTACAACAAAATTCTGTTTCTCTTAGATCGTATTGGCTCCTAAAAAACAAACTACAGGAAATAATTAGACTTTAATAAAATCAACAAAGCAGTTTATTTAAACAAACATACAGTGCCTTGCGAAAGTATTCGGCCCCCCTTGAACTTTTCAACCTTTTGCCACATTTCAGGCTTCAAACATAAAGATATAAAATTTAAATTTTTTGTGAAGAATCAGCAACAAGTGGGACACAATCGTGAAGTGGAATGAAATTGATTGGATGTGTCAAACTTTTTTAACAAATAAACTGAAAAGTGGGGCGTGCAATATTATTCGGCCCCTTTACTTTCAGTGCAGCAAACTCACTCCAGAAGTTCAGTGAGGATCTATGAATGATCCAATGTTGTCCCAAATGACTGATGATGATAAACAGAATCCACCTGTGTGTAATCAAGTCTCCGTATAAATGCACCTGCTCTGTGAGAGTCTCAGGGTTCTGTTCAAAGTGCAGAGAGCATCATGAAGACCAAGGAACACACCAGGCAGGTCCGAGATACTGTTGTGGAGAAGTTTAAATCTGGATTTGGATACAAAAAGATTTCCCAAGCTGTAAACATCCCAAGGAGCACTGTGCAAGCAATCATATTGAAATGGAAGGAGCATCAGACCACTGCAAATCTACCAAGACCCGGCCGTCCCTCTAAACTTTCATCTGGAACAAGGAGAAGACTGATCAGAGATGCAGCCAAGAGGCCCATGATCACTCTGGATGAACTGCAGAGATCTACAGCTGAGGTGGGAGAGTCTGTCCATAGGACAACAATCAGTCGTACACTGCACAAATCTGGCCTTTATGGAAGAGTGGCAAGAAGAAAGCCATTTCTCAAAGATATCCATAAAAAGTGTTGTTTAAAGTTTGACACAAGCACCTGGGAGACACACCAAACATGTGGAAGAAGGTGCTCTGGTCAGATGAAACCAAAATCGAACTGTTTGGCCACAATGCAAAACGATATGTTTGGCGTAAAAGCAACACAGCTCATCAACCTGAACACACCATCCCCACTGTCAAACATGGTGGTGGCAGCATCATGGTTTGGGCCTGCTTTTGATCAGCAGGGACAGGGAAGATGGTCAGAATTGATGGGAAGATGGATGGGGCCAAATACAGGACCATTCTGGAAGAAAACCTGTTTGAGTCTGCAAGAGACCTGAGACTGGGACGGAGATTTGTCTTCCAACAAGACGATGATCCAAAACATAAAGCCAAATCTACAATGGAATGGTTCACAAATAAACATATCCAGGTGTTGGAATGGCCAAGTCGAAGTCCAGACCTGAATCCAATCGAGAATCTGTGGAAAGAGCTGAAGACTGCTGTTCACAAACGCTCTCCATCCAACCTCACTGAGCTCGAGCTGTTTTGCAGAAGAATGGACAAGAATTTCAGTGGCTCCATGTTCAAAACTGACAGAGACAAACCCCAAGAGACTTGCAGCTGGAACTGCAGCAAAAAGCGGCGCTACAAAGTATTAACACAAGGGGGCCGAATAATATTGCACGCCCCACTTATCAGTTTTTTATTTGTTAAAAAAGTTTGACACATCCAATAAATTTCATTCCACGTCACGATTATGTCCCACTTGTTGTTGATTCTTCACAAAAAATTAAAATTTTATATCTTTATGTTTGAAGCCTGAAATGTGGCAAAAGGTTGAAAAGTTCAAGGAGGCCGAATACTTTCACAAGGCACTGTATACAAGCTGAGTATGAAGACTTTAAAAACTTTAAATTAATTTACAGATAGTCAGATTTGCATTTCTGGGAGAGGAAATTGTAAAATTTGGATTAAACAAATTGTCTTGGTAAAAATGCTTTTTGTTGTTGTTGGCAAAGGGCTCTATTTCAAGGGGGGGTCTTGCAGAAGTTGGTATTTGTTGGTCTTTGCAAATGTTTTGTGAAGCTAAAGAAAAAAGATAAAACGGTGTCAAAATTCAACAACAAAGTCTTTTTTATAAAACGTGTTGTAGCTCTGACTTTGTGGATTTAATGAAACTTTTTCAAAGCACCAAAAACTTTAAAAAGACCTGAAAACATTATTTTCCTTATGTAGAGTAGATTGCTGCACCAAAATAACTTTATTTTTGCCTCTTTTTTTTTTTTTTCAGCCAAAACAGAGTAGAATATGAAAAAAGAGTTCGAGCACAAGCCAAAAAGTACTCCCCCTCGTAAGAGGTGCCGGCTCGCCTCGCTGCGGCAGAAGGAATGGGTTTACCAGGAGTCACCTCTCCCCGCCCAGCCTCTCGATGAATGTGCTCCTCTCACATCAGGACTCGCTTAAAGACTTTCTATTTAAACTCCACACATTCTGTGCCATCCTTTCACCCGTTTCGTTTTTCCATCTTAAATGCCGGTTGGCGCGCAACGCTGGGAGGGGGACGGGTGCTCGAGCGCCCCGGTCATTTCTTTTTAAACGTTGTCTTACGTGGTGCGAGGGACGCAGCCTCCGTTTCATCTACTCCATGCGAAGTCGGCTGTCATCGATCTTCATGGAAAAAAAGAAATGTCTGTTTTATTTTGCTCTTTTCACAGGGTCCTTTTTTTGTTTTGTTTTTGTTTCCCTTTTATTTTTCATAAATTTAATGTAAAATCAGCTAAATTCATTGTCAGTATTTCACCTGCTGTATAATGAATGGCACTTTTATACTGTTGTTTCTCACTAGTGTCTCTAGATGGCTCTGTCTAATTTCCTTTCCCAGGTTTTTCTATTCAGCATGCTGTAAAATACATAGAATCTGCTGCCTTGGCTGTCTTTTTGTTATTCAGAGTGTTTGCTATGGAATAAGTAAAAATGACCAGTCACTGAGGTAGGTAGGCTTACTTCTGTACTTTAAACTTTAAGGTTATACGGTGCTTTGTTCATGTATGTGTTGGCTTAATAAAACTTTCTACAAAATATTGCAGCCTCTTCTTAAAAACGCATTTTAAAAACATGTTCAAAGGCGAAATATTTAATTGGCTGTTTCTCACATTATATACATCTTAATATGCATGTAGCTCGGGATAAAAATGATAATTTGCTGGAGATAATTGTGGCAGTTTGCACAATGGAGTGTTTCTCGTTTTGTGGTTTCTGCTTCCCTCGACTGTTCATGCTGATAATCTGTGTTGAGCAGGGTTCCCACGATGCTCTGCTGGGACACGACTGGACTGCTGGCCGCTCAGCGTGCAGTACTCGTTGCAGTACCAAGGAGGCTCCCTCTCCAGAGACATGTCACTGCAGAGCCAGCACCCAGAGTCCTCTGCAGGGCTGCCTGGCTCGGACCACGCCAGCAGAGGTGAGCTGCCCTGAGCCGACAGCCAGCTGCCGTTCGTGTACGTCATGCTGAGGTCAGCGTCGCAGCCAGCTGCAGGTATGTTCCTGTACCTGCTGCCCTCCATCCACTGCTGCTGAAAGATGGAAGACCCGTCACCCTGGGTGTCTCCAAACTGAACCAGGGTGTCGATTTTAAGGGCTTCCTCTGCTTTCAAGGCGTCTGGTGTGTTTTCGTGTGTAACCACCCAGCTCTGTAATCACAGTAACAGTCAAACGTCAGAATTAGTGCTGGGAGTTTCTACGAAGGGCCCCGCTTACCTTGAAGTCTCCCTGGTGGTCCGTGTACAGGCTGTGGAAGTAGGGAGCTGGAGTTGGGATGAAGGTGCTTCGCCTCCACCTGTTAAAAACGTGTTGGGCTATTTTTATATCATGCACGCTTATATTTACAGAATTAACTTGGAAGTGTAAAGAAGAAACTTACATTTTAATGGGGCCATAGTACAAAAGCAGGACAATTGCCACCATCACACCCAGGGCACCAAACGCCACGGGCAGCTCAAAAGTTAATGTTTTTGTGGGGAGACCTGCACGAGGGGAAAATGCAGAATGGAAGATTTAATAGAAAACAGTTTTGAATCAACAAAAATAAGAGGGGAAATTAAAACCTTTCCTGATTCACCTGTATCCTTGAAGATGTATCCACCATCATTCACTGCTGGGGCCATCCTCCAGAGGACCTCAGAGGACCAGTCGCTCCACTGGCCCTTGTAATGAACGTTGTCTGGACTGGACCGGACTCTTGCAGCGTACTCGGTGTCTGGCTCAAACCCATCCACAGAGCAGCTCGTACTCTCCGTCTTAAAAGGCCTTCCTGCCTGGAACATGGGACATGGTCTGTTTCTTTAGATCACTTGTGCGCTGTAAGATGCACACAGTTCAGATTCATAAAAATAACTCGACCAACTAAACATTTTGCACTTGACAGTACAATAGAGTTTTGTTTTTTTGTAATCCAAAGACGGAGAGAATCCCTTGTCTTCAGGTGCTAAATCTGTTTTCTTAAGACATTTACATTTGTTCAGTTTCATTGTGGTTTTTTTTTTTTTTAAGAGGAAAGTTGCTGAAATGCAAAAAAGCTCCAAGTTTAAATATACTGTACAGTGTGTGGTTTATATATCTTGATGCACGCTCGATAATCCAGGTAGAAAAATTAACAAAGTTAAGTCTGGTCCTCTGAACAGATTAAAAAAAAGAAGTAATGTTTCATTTCATCATTCTCATTTTAACGTTTCTTTTCTCCCAAAGACTTTGTCAGTCTGAGGAGCTGCACTAAACTCAGTTATATAAGCAGCACCTTCTCATAGTGGATGTTGCCAGATTTTGCAAATCGCGATAGAAACAAGCAACCCGCTCTATCAAAACAAGCCCAACTGGCAACCCACCACATTGTGTAAAACAGAGGCCGTTTTTAAACAGTATAAACACATTTATTATGGCATTACACATAACAGCAAAATTATGCTAAACACTTTGAATAACATTAAGCTCTGATTAAAAAATGCATTTTGCATATTAAATTCTATGTATTTTTATAAACGACATCCTGACATCTGCGTGTGAGTGGAGCCCCCTCATGGTCGGCCACAGTATGAGTGTTTGGGGTGCGCGCCTACGAATAGATTTGTCTGTCTGTGTGTCGCCTCACCAACTTGGGTGGGAGCGATAAACAGGAAACGAGAGCGTGGAAGGAACAAACTACCTACTACCACTCGTCGTTTGCTTTATTGTGTGGAGCTGGGAGATGATCAAGTAGTTTCACTCGGAAAGAACATCAAGCCCAAATAAGCAACTTCACATTCAAAACAAGCCCAAAGAAACGCAACTCGCAAGATTTTCAAGCGACTTTAGAAAAAACAAGCCCAAAGTCGCCTATTATAAGCGAACTTGGCAACTATGATAGTGGATCAACCAGTTTGCTGCTCACAGCCAAAACTAGCTGTTCACATGGTGAAGGAGGACCATCAGCCTAACAGTTGATCATTAATGCCCTGATAGCAGCTAGCAATCACAGCATTGTAAGAGGGGGACAGTTGAACCCGGAGGCCTCCACCCCTGTTTAATGATGGATGGATTCGCTTTACAAAGATGGCCTCCTTTACTCCTCTCTCAAACCATCGTTCCTCTCTGTCCAGGATGTGAACATCTTCATCCCTGAAAGAGTGACCGCTGGCCTGGAGATGAGTGTAGACCGCAGAGTCCTGGCCTGATGATGTTGATCTTCTGTGCTGGTCCATCCTTTTGGCCAGTGGCTGTTTAGTTTCCCTGATGTAAGACTGATCACAGCCCTCCTGACTATTTGGTTTGTATTGGGGGTCTAGATCTTTGGGATGGACCAGTCTATGATTTATACTTTTAACCTTAAATATTTTGTTATGACTTTAAAAAGGAGCAGATTTAAAGATTTTCTGTTCAAAATATCACCTGAGCTACAAAACTCCCTGGTTCAGAGGCTGACGGTGATGATGGATCAGTTAATTAGGGACAGTTTTTTGTAGTTTAAGAGCCGTTTCTGCTTAGACCAGTTCTCATCCGACTAGTTCTTAGTTTGTGTATCACACACAGCACATTCTCGTATTTTAGATCAAATGGTTTGGTTTTTATAGCACAAACTGGTCAATACTGGAACAAATATTTCCTGTCATTCTTTGTTTATTAATGATGCGTCACCTTGTGTTTGTCCTCTGTTTTGTAGAAAAGCAGCTCATACCGCAGACTGCTCGTCAGGCCGGTGAAAGAACTGAACTCCTCGTAGGTGTTTCTCCAGGTGAAGTGGACTTGGCTTGAGTTGTGGCCAGCTGTGAGGCAGCACGGTGCGTTTGGTTTAACTGTCAGGAGGATATATATCTGGTTATAAAAAGCCAACATTTATTATTTTTTATGCAGACACGTGCCTGCTCTGAGAATCTAATTATAAATTAAAAGAGAAATGATAAATAATTGATTAAAAAAATTTCTGAAGGAGCTGAAATTGAGTCCTTGAGACTCAAAAAATGCAGAACACTAGCTAAAAGCATCAAAATACTAAAAAGAAAATACAGTAACATAAAAACCTAGTTGTACATTACATCATAACATAAGGTGCACTAAGGCGCATTAATTAAAACAAAACATTTTGATAGATTTTGAGCTGTGTACCACATAAAATCAGTTCGAGGTCAGTAAGCACAACCAGAATTAATACATAAAGTGCACCGGATTATAAGGCTCACTGTCAATTTTTGGATTTTAAGTGTGCCTTATAGTCCGAAAAATACGATACAAAAAGGTTTTTAGAAGATGGATAATAGCAGAAGTAGCAAAGGTAGTGGAAAGTAGCAGAAGACTAGCTAGAAGCTAATAGCAGCAAAAGATTAGCCAAAAGCTAAAAATGGGAAAAGGGGATGGTTCTGTGACGGGGGAAAATATCAGTAAATAAAAATATTTCTTAAATGATAAACGTTACAAAAAAACAGAAATGGTTGTACACTAGGGATGCACGATATCAGCATTTTTATCTGTATCGGCCGATATTGGCGATAAAGTTAAACATCGGACGTCGGCCATTCCATAAAAAAAAAAACCTCACCGATATAAAAGGCTTCTGTTTTAAGTTCACTTTTAATTTAAGAAACTGTCAAGTATATCTATTAATTATATGCTTTTCACTTGTCCCTTGTGAACATGTTGAGTTTAGATTTGTTAAAATTGACATATTTGCGCTGTTTGAGTGTTGCCATTGTGTTGGAGAGAGTAAATGTCATGAATAAATTTGATATTAAACATAATCCAAGTTGAAATGTTACATCGTTTTCAGACCCTTTTTTGACATCTGTATTTGGTAGCAGGTTAAAAAAAAAAATTCTATTTACCCTTTATTCAGGTAGTCCCATCGAGTCCCGGGAACTAATTTTCAAGATAGACCTGTTAGGGAGCAGATGATGGGGGTTAGGGGCCTTGCTCAGGGGCCCAGAGTGAGGCAAATGAGGGTGGAGGCAGGTGTGGGTGTTTCACCTTTACCGCCCACATTTTTGATGTTGACGGTACTTGCGACTTTCTGATCTCAGGCCCATCTTCTCTAACCTCTGCACCACCGCTCCCACCAAATTGTTACAAAATTGTCCCAAATCGACAAAGACCATGCAGAATAACGTAGTATTTTAATTCCACAGCAGAGAAAGTCTCTTTAAGTAGGTCTAAGGGGAAAAAATATCTGTACTGGTATTGGTTATTTATTATCGGACAAATAAGTTTTAACATATTGATATATCAGATATCGACCAAAAATCCATCGTGCATCCCTATTGTACACTTCCAAATTTAGCTTAACCTTTTGGTATATTCAATTAAATTTATTTATATAGCGCCAAATCACAACAAAGTTGTCTCAGGGCACTTTACAGGAACATTCACATACATAAAAGCCAATTAGTAAAGTTCTCTATCTAAGGAATGGCTTAAATAGAACAAATAAAAAACTGTAAAACAACAGTGAGATGTATCCACACAAGCATCAGTTTGTACAGAGAATGTGCCTGAGGTGCAGGTGAGTGAGTTAGTTGGTAAATTAGGACCAGGTGTGTAAGAGCAGCACAAACTGCACATGCACGAGAACATTGAAACTAATCCATCTCGATCCGCAGCGTGAAGCTTCAGCTGTAACACGATCACAGTGCTTACTGTTCAGCGAGGGCTTGTACTCTTCATCCAGCACCTCGCAGCTGTCCGAGCTGTTGTCTGGGCACAGTGAGACTTCATACGAATCTAAATCTGTAAATATATCGACGTCGGGCGTTTTCTCTCGTTTATTGATGGAGCAGAAGTAACCCTGCGTCGTGTGTGCCAGCAGACACTCGTACTCCAGTCTGAGGAGAGAAGCAGGGATGAGAGCAGGTAGGGTAGAGAAAGTGAGATAAACTCATGGAACGACTAAAAACAGGCCTCACTCCTCAGATGTTTCTGTGACTGTGAGCCTGAAGGGTTTGTCGTCGACTGAAGTCCTATCTGAGGGGAGGATGTTCAGGGAGCAGTTGATGGTGTACAGGTAATCGTTCACACACTGAATATGGTGATCCACTCCTGGAAAGACACAGCATAAGAGATTAAACTGAGGAACAGCTGCTCCTGTTCAAAAAGCCTACAGATTAGAATGAAAGAGACGTCACTGACCTGTTTATCTGGATTATTGATGCTTTAGAAATCAGAAAGATGTTGAAAATATATAGTTTTGTAAATAGTCATTGCACACCAGGGCGGTAGAGTTTTTGCCCGTCTGTGTGATCCACCTTAGTTAACGTGCAGTTCACAGATTGGGCTAAGTGTTGGTGTGGTAGTAGCTGAGAGTCATTAATAACGCGTACTGATCAGCAACACGTCTCACGCAGGATCTCACATGAGATTATTCATAATGTGTTTTAGGTTTGACCAAAACTGCTGCAAGCATGAAGTTGTTTTGTGTTCAAGCTCACAGGAACAAGTTCAGTGGTGCTGACAGTCGGATAAGATCAGGGTCTGCAACCTGCGGCTCTGGAGCCACATGTGGCTCTTTGGTTCCTCTGCAGGGGCTCTTTCAAGCTTTGACCAAAACTAAAATAAAAACGAATTTTATTGGTTGTTGTACAAACAACAAAAAATTATGAGTTCAAACATTTTTTCTGTAATTTCATTTGCAAATAAGTGAACACTGGAGTGAGTACAAGGAGCAAAACACACGTTAACTCAACAAAGTTCAGGCAGATCATCTGGACGGTTTCTTTTTATTTTGTTGAGACGTTTCGTCCTTCACCCAAAAGTCTTCATCAGTCAGAGGAGCCACAACAATCCAAGTCCCACAAGCAGCGCGCCCACATAGTGGACCAACCAGTTCACTGGTGATAAGATGGTTTCTGGGGCCCGCCCTCTCCCCCGTCGACTCCTCTGAGGCAGCCTTAGCCAAAGTGGTTCAAAACATCAAAGTTCATGCGCAACAATCCAAGTAAAAAAAAAAATCCAACACCGTTCAGTCAGGTCATCTGGAAGTGACCTGGATCTGGATTACTGAGCATGAACTTTGACACTTTAACTTGATGCTTTATTTCTTTATACGTCTGCATAGTTTACAGATTGTTTTTAATAATTAAAAAAAAAGGTAAAAACTGATTTGTTTCCCCCTTCTTTACAAGAATCTGGTCTTTTTTCATCAATAAATGTGAAAATCATTAGATATTTTTTGCTTTACAACGTCAACCCTACTGGACACAACAGCCCCCTCCAGCAAACCTAAGTGGCCCATGGGCCACCAGTTGATAACCACAGTTGTAGCAGGTTGTTGCAGCTCCGGACATGTTTAATGTCGTTAACGAAGGCAAAAAAATGTCTTTTGATCATAAAGGTTGCAGACCCCCGTGTAAGAATGAACGATGCTGATAGATGGAGAGCAGCTTCAGGACACGTTTCTACTTTTAATAAACACTTAAGAGTTCAGTTTTGGCTTGTTCCTTCAAGACTAAAGACTAAAACCAGATTTATTTAAAAACTTGCTGTGCTTTGTCTTCATTTATGCTGCTGCTAATCTTTATTTTATCAACGTGCCTAATGAAAACGAGAAAAGTAAGTTTAAACTTTGCCACACTTTTGAAATGAAATCTGGTACATGCAGATGTTCTGTGACACGCTGAACATCTGTAATTATAAATTCTAACCTGTCGTCTTTTCTCCTTGCAGCCGCACGGTGCTGGTGCACTGAAGGAGAAGCAGGATGTGCATGAGCTTCAGCCTCAGAGGAGGTGGATCCATCGCTCCGTCCCAGTCAGACCAGCTCAGCTCTGACACGTCAGGTCACTCTGCCCTGAAACTTTTGCACCAAACTCTTACATGCAGGCTGAGAGGGGGGCAGTACCCAGGCTTCTTCACACCCACAGGAAACACGGGAGAGGATGTGCTTCTGGTTGAAAGAGCAGCTGCAAAATAAACTTCATTTAAAAGCCCCACTTCTTCTTTTCCACTATAGTTTTGTTAAATAATAAAAACCTGTTCCTTACCAGAGCTGTTTTTTTTCTATCGTTAAATGTCAAGATGTCACTCAGGGTTCCTGCATAAAGTTTGTCTCCTTCCAGCCGGTTGAAGATGGCCGCTCGTCCTGAGCCTGGTTCTGCTGGAAGTTTCTTCCTGTTAAAAGGGAGTTTTTCCTTTCCACTGTTGCCTTTGTGCTTGCTCAGGATGGGAGACTGTGTCAAAGTGAAGATTCAACACATCTTCCTTAGATGGATAACTTTTACTAATTGGCTTTTTAAAATTTTTATGCATGTGCATGTTTCTGTTCAGTGCCCTGAGACGACTTCTGTTGTGACCTGGAGCTAAATAAACTAAATAAAATGTGTTTTTGAGGAGCTGCATGAACTGTTCACATTATTTAGATTTGTTTTTCATCTCGAGTGTAAGATGGAAGTGAAAGAAATGTTGAATTAACCGTGTGGTGAGACTCGCTCTGATTATCGAGCTGATAAGTTTGCAGAAACAGACGCAACATTGAAACTTGACCTTGTCGCAAAACAAACAAAAAAAGGCGACACAGCCAACTTTTACGGTCACACTGTTCTTTTTATTCTTTCAGCCGAATAAAACGTGAAAATAAATAATACACATAAAAGGCACTGATCGTTACAATGAGGTTAAAAAAATCATATTTGGATTTATTTGGCTCTAACCCTCCACCCATCATATTTATGTTGTAATTACGTTTTGGTATTTTATTTTTGTACCCTTATTTCATGCTTTACTATTTCTTGTTTGTTTGATTTTTTTAGTCAGTCTAATCTGTTCTTCTCATCCTGAGCATTTCATTGTACTGTTTAACTCTGTGTTAACCTTGTGTATGACAAATAAACACAACTTGAACACCTTTTACACTGATAAACCCTCAAATTTCATCAGCTCTTAATTTTAAATTTTACCATGAACTGTCTTGTTCAGCAAAATAACTCACGAACCACTGGACTGATTTCATTGGAACTTTCAGGAAATAATCAGTAGATTCAAGATGGCCGCCACTAAAATGCTTATTACTCAGTCAGTTCATTAACAACACTCAAGTGTGCAAGGCAGCGGGCGATATGCATTCATTCAAGTACTGATTATGTTGGCCTGATTACTGAAGAAAGGGTTTGGTTGTTTTATTATTATTTTAGTCTGTACCTCAGTGGAGTCCATGCTTGTCAGGTGCACCATCACTCTCTTAGTGATGATGTAACTCTGATTTCAAAGCCAGATGTTGGAATCAGTTGCCGTGAAACAAAGTGTTCAGCAGCGCTTCGTGCACCGACAGCTCGGCTCAGGTTGTGATTCTGCAGCAGATAAGGGTCGACAGTGAGGCTCTCAGCTTCCTTTATACTTTCTGATTCTGTTGATTGCTTCAGCCCATCCAGTTTCATTGCACGTGACCTACGGTGAAAATCCATTTTTATTTAGGCTTTTCAAGTCATACGTGTAAATGATCGTCTCTCTCGTCGCTTCATTGCGTGTGAACTTTGCTGCAAGTCATAATAAGTGCTCTCGTGGATGTAAATTTAATTACAGACAGTTAAATTGGGGTATTTATATCTAAAGTACCTCTTTGTTTCTGAACATGTTACCACAGCACATCGGAGGCCTATTTTTATTTGTTGAAACCTGAGTGACTTTCTGACCACGTCTGAGAAGCAGCGTGAGCTCGAGCTGAACACACGCCGAGCTGCTTCTTGTCAGATGGAAATATTTAAGTTGCGCAACCCTGTAGTGTTGCCGTTCTGCTCCATCTGATAGGAGAGCGCTCTCAGGGCTTTTTATTACTTTGATAAAACTGTTTTTCCTTTTATGATGGTGCACGATGCGGCGCAGGGGTCACGAAAAACACGCAATCTGATAAAAGATGGTACGAGATGATTTCAAAGGAACATCTGATAGATAAGACTGCTTGTAAGTGGACAAAAAAGAAGTAAATGTTAAGTATAATTAATTTATTATAAAATTCAACAAGTGAACACAGAAACAAGACAAGTGTACAGTTTTCGTTCCATTTGTCTATGGATTAAATATCTAATAACTGAATGTTTACAGTAACAATACTTTTTGCTTCAGCTTAAATATTTAAAAATAAATGTGGCAATACAAGACAGTAAAACGAGTTGTCCTTTGTATCGCCTTTGTAAAAAAGTCATCGAACATGGCTCCGTGGTGTTTTATGGGTATAAGACTAGAACTTTTGATTTAGTTCAGACAGTTGAGCACTTGGGTCACTCACAGGCCAGTTTGCCATCAAAGGATGAGAGAGTGATGGCAAAGGCTTGCAGGGCACACAGAGGAAAACTGTAATCCATGGAGAAGACGTCCTCCGCCACACGGCCGAATTGCATCACTAAGTACTCGTCTGCAGGAGACATTAGACACACAACAAAAGGGTCAGGGTGGGCGGGTGGAAAAGTATAATTTGTAGAGCAAATGAGACATTGTACCATTCTCAGGGTGGATGATCTGGAAGTTTTTCACCGAGGCCTGGGTCACACGGCCGTGGAAGTTCAGCACATATGACTGAGTCTGTTCGTTAAAGCTGGGGGATTTGTTCACCAGGGTCACCAGCTTGTCCGTGGTGCCGTTTGCATGGCGGACCAGGAGGGTCTCGAGCTCCTGAAACCAACCAAAATGTTAGCTCAGCTAAAACAATGCACGTAATTACAGGTTTCATAAACAGTCGTGCGTTTAAGACTCACATTTTTGGGACAAACGGTCACTCTTTGGTTGTTCTCCAACATGCCAGGGATGATCACGGTCATCTTCCTCGGACCCTTGAATCCCAGAACATTCGGCTCCTGGAACAGAACCGAGTGTTTTGAAGGCTTTCCTACTTTGTGTACAGGGTAACGTGTGTGTGTGTGTGTGCTCACGTAGCATATGGCTGCCAGTTCTTGCCTCACTGAATCACACTCTTTGATGAAGGGTTTTTTCTCTGGGTTTTCACCGCCATCATAGACTGTGAACTTTGTACCCAGAACATTAGACCTAAAACAAAGACTTCTGTCAGATTCTTGGTAAAGAAACAAGATAAATGCAGTAGATGCTGCAGAAGTACTGTATATATATTTCAGATTACTGTCATTTTTTTAAATGAAATACATTGCAATCATAGCAAACATTGAAATTTAGACCAAAAACCATTGAAGTGGCACCACTGTAAAATACTGGAGAAATATAATTTCTTAAGCTTTGGCAATTTTTAAAAATGTTCTTGTTTAAATTTGACTTTTAAATGCATTAATGGTCGTGTCCCAGAGCTGGTGAGCAGAATGATTTTAAAAGTCAGCAGCTCAGGAGTTGCAACAAGAGGTGCAGTTGATGGAGACTGCAAACCTGCAAAAAGCAAACCATCATTTGGTCAATGATCCTTCTCATTTAAAGGCTCTCATATTAGGAACAGTTTACCATCAGCAATAAAAGCATTAACAGATCTTAGAGTTTTTAACTCCCAGGTGAAACAATGGCTGAAACAAAACCAAATGTATGAACACAGAGCCCCATGAGGAAGGAGGAGCAGGCATGTGTGTAAGGGGACTGTTCAATTAAATTTAAATTTTATTTTAGCTGTTTTTATTGAAAAGTCCAACCAAGGACTGGGTTTGCAAATTAGCCTGTAGCTAGAAAAGCTTCGTACAAAACGACGGTTGCTTCGTGCTTATCATGTAACATTGTTTATTGTGCTGTGATCAAATAAACTTGAATGAATGAGAAACTGGTAAAAAAACACAGATTTTATAAATAAAGGTGGAGGTGGGACATTTAGATAAAAAAAAAACAATAATTTTGAACAAAGTTGCAGCTAATTTGGTGATATGTCCTGATGCATGCTAATAATAATCCAGGTGGATAAACAGACTGTCACCAGCAAACTGGTTGATCCACTATGAGAAGGTGCAGCTCCTCAGACTCAAGAAGTCTTTTGGATAAAAGATGAAACATTTCAACTAAGAAGAATCCGTCCAGTCCAGAGGACCTGACCTAACCTTGTTTGTATCTTTCTGTACAGTAGGCTCTTGTGCAACAATGCATTGAGAACAAAGAGCATTCCGATATAATCAGTGCGTGAGCTCAACTGTAACACGTTCATTTCTGCATATATGAGTAGAAACCACCCAGCAGCCATCAAACCATAACTGAACAAAATCAAAATGCACCTCCACCCCCTCTGGGTCCACATCATTTGAGATGAACAGAGGTGAAGTGTGAAAGTGTCTGCACCTGGGGAGGCACCGTTAATGATGAACATGTCTTTCTTTGCAGAGACGTACCTTAGTTTTCCGATGTAAGAGTTTGTATCCCTGCTTAGATTTGTCGGGTCAACAGAGATGAGATAGTTGGAAGTTTTGCACTTCTTTCTTTTTCTGCCCGCCATCAAGAACACCTTTGTGGTGAAACAAGAATTTAAAAAAAGGGTTGCGTGAGAGACAGGAAGTAAAGAGCTTGGATCGACACATGCCCGCTCAAGAGAACTGCAAATTCAATCAATAGTCTAGAAGTAAGATGTTTGACAGAAGTGCCGACCCTCTTTCCATCTTCCTTCTCCATGTGGAGGTAGTAAGTTGGATAAATGCCCTTCTCCATGCCTCTCCTGTCCCTGGTCACCCTGCAGAGGATCGTCGCGTCTCTGGGAGCAGGACGCAAGGCAAACGTCTCAAGATCCTCCAGCAACATCGGAGATGATAACTGAAGAAAGCAAAGGGAGAAATGATTTCTCTGCGATTGATTAATGGCATTGTTTCAAAGGATTTTTCACTTGCATTCATGTCTCACTCTTTCGCTGTGCTCGCTCCCCGAGGACGAAGTCTCCCTGTAGTTGGAGTTGAGGGACACCAGGCTGGAAGTAGTTTTGTCTCCTTTGTTGGACTTTTTCTCCGGCTTCACTTGTTCTTGGATTTCCTCATCTTTGCTCTCGTCACTTATCTGACACCTGGCTGTAAAGTTTAACGCACAGATGTAAGCTTGATTTGATTGTCAGTGATTGTTGACCAGATCCTCACTCACATGTGTCCAGAGTTTTTTTCTTCATCGGCGATGGAGGAACAGGCGGCTGGGAACCCTTCTCCTCATCGCTGTCACTTTCTTTACATCTATTTGTCTCTTCGACCACTGGTTCTGCCTCAGGGGCTGAATCTTCCTGCAAATGCTTGTCTGCAAGAAAGAGAGTCATAAGCATGTCTGCATAATATGAATGTTTTGTGTGAAAAACAGGCGATTTGTTCAATTTACTTTTACGCTCTTGTTTGGTTGTCTTGTTTGTCTTTTTTGTGTCCACAGCTTCTTTCTCTTTCTTCTTGTTTTTCTTCTCCTTTTTTCCTTTTTCCTCGTCATTTTTCATCTCTTCTGTTAGTTTCCCCACTAAAAAAATCAGTATTGTTTATACTGGTTAGTAAAGTGCTTTTGGTACTTAACACAGCCCATTATGTACCCAGTGCTTGCCTGTACATACTATAATTTTTGCTGTATAAGTCACAATTTTTTTGCATAAATTAGCATGCCTGGGACTTATACAGCGAAGCAAAGTATTTATTTTTTCCCATATTTTTAACCCAATTTTTGACGATTTCATTCATTCTGACATGGAAAATATTGAACACTACCATTTTCAGCCGCTAGAGGGCCCTCAACTAATATGGCAAGCCAAGTGTCACATTAATAGGTAAAAGTGGCTATTAATGAGACACTTGGCTTGCCATACTCTCCCACCTTCGTCTTGCTCCGGAACTCCTGGACCAAACGTCAAATCAGCTGCATTTTGCTGCGCCGCCCAGGTGAAATGCAGCTAATTTGACCATTAAAGTACATTTATTAAAGAAAACTTCAACTGAGACACACCTTTACTATAATGTCCATCAAACAAATAATTGTTTTTATGTGGTTATCTTTTTAAATTTCAAAGAAATGCACAGTGAGTCGTCCCTCTGCACGCTCCTGCTTCCGCAAATCGGCGTTTGAAATGCAGATGATTCGACCGTCAAAGTGCATTTATTTAGGAAAATTTAGACTGAGACACACCTTTGCTATAATTTTGAGCAAACAAATAATTGTTTTAAGTATTAATCTTGTTATATTATTGTTAAAGTCTCCCGTGCGCGCTCCCGCGGCCACCAATCAATTTTTGGCACACCGGCCCACATTTCTGGGTTGTCAGTGGTGACGCATAATAGATGTGACTTATAAAGCGACGCAACGTATTTATGTTTTTTTCCACTTTATTAGACATATTTGAACTGATGCGACTTATACTACAGTGCGACGTGTACGGCGGCAAGTACGGTACTAAGTTTCAGGCAAGCGCCAAGTACATATTTTGTACCTGGTACTTTAGTTAAGCAATACAGTAAATAAGTACCAGATACATAGCTACTGTATTATGTACAGTACTGTATTTGTGCTGGGTATGTAACCATTCACCAGGTATGTGTTAAGTACCAGGTACTTATAGGGCTGTAGTATGTGTATGTCTAGTGAACATTTAAACACATCTGGTCGATAAAACTCTTACATTTGGTTTTCTCCTTTTTCACATCTTTCTTTGTCTTTATTATCTCCACGGGGGCCTCCTTCTCCCCTTCACAGTTCACCTCAGGCTCTCTGTCAACATCTAAGTTCATTATTTTGGGAGTACCGGGTTTCTCCAGAGATTTCTGTTCTGACACCATAGTTGCTGTCATGTCGTCTTCCCCCAGAGTGATCTCATCCAGGGGGTTGTCATGGGCATGTTCAACTTGATCTTCAAGAAACACAATAAAAACTTCAGTCTGTCAGAAGTTGTCATTAAGATTCTATTAAAAAAATAGATCTTCAAAATAGGATTATTCATATACTAACCACTCAGAGAGGTGCTGCTCAGGGACTGACAGTCCAACAGGGGCGTCTCGTCGCTCTTGATGACTTTGCGCTTTCGATTCTTTTGGCGAGTATCCCAGTTTGCCACCACCATCTGGTTGTCGGCTCTCTTCTTTTGCTGGTTTTTCATAAGCAGAGCTCGCTGTGGGAGGATCGAGAACATTTTATTCCAGCGCTGTTTTCACACACTTCTTAACCATCAGAATACAAAGAATAACCACAAAGAGGGCTTCCATTGAAATTTTGATGACATTTATTGTTTTTTATTCATGTGATGGAAAATATATCCAGATGTAATGAAGAACCATTTACCTATCATGCATGTTTTAAGTATGTTTTGCTTATGAAAAGCTGCTTTAGTGTTTTTTTTCCACAAGGGCACAAATTGCAATAAAAATACTTCCCTCATTGCCATTAAAAATTAAATAACAGCATCAAACCAATACAAAAAATATATATATTTGAAGTGTTTTGACACTATAAAACACAATATGACAAAAAAAGAAAAGAAAAGCTGAATCATAAAAAAAAGGCTACTGACTCTGCAAGCAGAAAAAAAAAAAATCACGGATGCTTAAATTTTAAATAAAGTAAATATAATTATTATATTTCTACCTGGTTGTCCAGCTTCTGTTGTCGAATGTCAGGGTCCTCCATAGCTGAACCGAGGCAATGAAAAAAATAAATCTGCACACAGACAGGTAATCAAATCAATTAATTGATTTGATTAAATCAAATCATTAGATGTTTCAATTGAAACATCTACACACAACAAATAAAAGCCTGTCAGCGCCCACTGTGAGTAAATAGGTTGATTTTGTCCCAAAGAAACATCTTTTGGTTCAATTAAGTTTCAGAAGCGGGTGCTTGTGTCACCCAGATCCATCTGGCAGTCTGTGCACCTGCCTGCAGCAGAAGGCAAAGTGGATTAAGAGGATAATGTTCTTAAACAACACTGCACAGCTCACACTGTGGACTCCTGAACAAGTCAGGTCCTCCATAACTGCTTTACAGAGATGTTATAAGGAGAGGAAACAGGAAGTGCTCTGATACATCACTTACCAAAAAGTGAACAATAACACTAAGCTTCTCCAAAATGTCCCAAACTACTTTTAGAATCATAGTTTCGGTCTTACCTCCACCTACTGAGCCGAACATACCATACCACTTTATTTATAAAGCACTTAAAACAGCTACAAGGCCAACCAAAGTGCTGTACGGACAAAACAACAGGTAACACACAAAGCAAAATACAAAATGAGGTAAATCAGAATATAGACATAAAAATCGATGCAGATAATGACGACAAACCAGTGTGGAGCATACAGGATCAAAACACAGATCATCTTGTGTTGAAAGCTACTGAATAGTAGTGAGTTTTTAAACGGGACTTGAAAACCGAGAGGGAGGGGGCCTGTCTGACAAGCAGAGGCAACTCGTTCCAGAGTCTTGGTCCTGCTACAGAGAAGGCCGTGTCACCTCTGCGCTTAAGACGAGTTCCTGGAACTATGAGGAGCAACTGGTCCGCTGACCTCAGGGAGCGTGGTGGGACATACGGTTGTAGCAGATCAGAGAGATGTGGGGGGGGCGACACTGTTCAGTGATTTGTAGACATACATGAGTATTTTGAACTGGACACGGTAATATATATATCTGAAAAAGATGAATGCAAACAATCAAAAACACTTCTATGTTACTGTATGGTAAGGTTATCTCGTTGCCATGGATACAGCCACACTGATGAAGTGCAAAGCCTGAAAGAACAAAAACACAACTTTATTAAACAACTTTATTTAACACTTTATAATCATCTGAGCTGCCTGTTTTAGTTGGTATGGTTTAAAAACACACCTAAAAAAGTCGCTTTATTTTGCTAATACTAGTTTTCCAGTTTCCTTAAAAAAAACAAACGACGACGAGTTCCGAGTAAACAAAATGAACGCTTTTTATTTACATTATACTATGTTCGATAAGTAACTATAAAATATTCACTTACCTTTCTTTTGTTGTATTTTACAAAATAGTGTGTTAGTAAATTATTTTATCACGTTAACTCCGTCTCTTTTGTGCAAAATTTCTCTATTCTAAATGTTAATTTTCGAAGTAACGTTTTTCTGTTTTTTTTTTTAAAAGACGCTAAACCGGAAGTTAAAAAAACTTGGTTGCTAGGATACCGGGACTGACCCAAACAGTAGCCATTTTTCAAACCTGCTTTGGTCAGTCTGTTGGTCTGTTTTGGTTAATAATAAAATACTTTAAGACCGTAGGCTAAGTTAGTTTTAATTTAGAGTCTGTTGAAGAGTTTCTGAAGCACTTTTTGTTTTTCAGCTACAGTCCACCCTGTTTAACCAACCAGCTCGTAAAACATGGTGGACAGCAACATTAAGGTAGGCTCCACAAGTTTCCTTTTACAGCAGCTGGTCAAGATTATGTCTACAGATTACCCTGAGCAGAACTGAGCCACTAATTTGTGTTAAATCAAGGGGGTTTATAGTCTTCCCTATAAAAATTGATGGTACACAAGAGACAAAAGCTATATTTAAGAAAAGTAAATAAGGCCAAAAATGATAAATGGAGCAGATAAACTGACCTTGTAATAATGTGTAACTGCAGAAAACATTTTTCAAGTGTTAAATAAATAAAGCAAGTTTTCATTTCACCACCCATCCATGCATTTAAAGCTGTTGTTTTATTTGTAGCTACCACGAGCCTTGAAAGCCAAACTAATGTTATGGTGAGCCCATTTTCCTTTCATTCTGCTTCATTTACATTTAATCTCACTGAATGTCACGCATAACACTGTTTTCATCATCTGTGTCTTCAGGACAGACGTAAGCTACCATGACATGGAGTTTATTGACCAAATGCAGTCCATTCCTGACATTGAAAGGTGATCCGGTTTATGACCTTTTACCTTTACTCAATAATGACACACCTAAGATCTCTGGGTTTTGACCTGCATTGTCTTTCTTCTATGTCAGCGTTTTATGTCGTGTGTTTAGAGTTTACCTCCCACAACCAAAAAGAGGAGTTCTGCTGGAGCTATACGTCCAAACTGTGCTATTTTGCAGAACACATGGACTGAAAAAAGAACAAACATCTGCGCTTTTGTCAATCATCAAGTCCATTCATGAGGCCAACATTGGTAAGAAAAATCATAAATATTACTGTGAATTTAATAGGAAATGACTTATTTAGCTGTCTTTAAACATCACACACTCCTTGTTGTCTTGTGACGCTAAACGTGAAGTTATATGACTTCCATTGCAATAATTCATTAATAAAACTTGTAGAAACGCCTCTCAACAACATAGATGAGTGTCTCAAGTATTCCCAAGAGCTCCTGCTCTGTCACTCAGTCAGGGTGAGCAAAATAATAGTTTTTAAATCACAGTTTTATTTGAACATCCATAAATGTCCGGTTTACGTGCCTGTTTCTTCTCACTACAGCGGCCTCCATTTAGCATCAACATCTTCAGCTTTGAGGAGGCCAACTGCATATTTACATACATCCATAACTACTATCTGAGGATCTACAAACTCTACAAGTATGTCTTCACACCCCAGGTAATTGAAAAACAAAAATGCACAGACCAAACGTAAAATATTTTAGAGAAATAGTTTAATAGTCACTGAATGTTTTGTTGTCACTTTTGAAACTTTAAGAAAATGAACATTATTTAACACCCTTTTGTCACTGCATAATGCTTAAATTTATTGGTAATATTCCTCATTATCATGCATGATAATGGGATGAAACCCAATAAAAATCATATTTGGTAAAAGAAATCTGAAACGTAAAGCTTTATAACACAATTAGTCAAAACTGAAGTGAATAAACTGTACACAGAAAACATTAAAGGCAACACAACATAGGGAGCACTTTATAAAATATATTTGTTTAAATGCTATTTAACATATTCACATATAAAAACCATGCACTTGATCAGAAATAGTGTGCCATTATTTATATTATCTGTAACATTTACACTTTTTGAATAATTTTACTTTACTTACATTTTCCCCACAGACACATTGAGATTTCATTACTTATAAAATTTCTTTGAAACTTGTTTCTGCAGCTTCCTTACTCGTTGTTTAGCTGTAGGACATCCCGTAGCTACATTTGAGCTAACCATTAGTTTAGCTAATTTTAGCTTTTTGCTAAAATTATAATTATATTTAGCTAATAATTAGCTAAAATAATGGTTAGCTATTGTTTTACTTTCAGTTTTTTTTGCTGATTTGAGCTTTTATCTACTGGTTGTTTTGGTAATTTTATTTTTCACTAGTCTTAATGTTGGCCTTTAGAAATGTTTTTGCTCTTTATGTCTTCTGTTCTGCTTATTTTATCTTAGCCAACAAGAACGCAACAAAAATATATTTTCAAATATTTCAATAATAAATCATTTTTAGCACATTCATATAAGAAAACTCAACGTAATTCAAAACAATAAAGTCAACAAAATCAAACAGTTATCTAAAGGTCATCATTTAAATACTGAAACAAGTTAGGCTAATCTGAAATTGGAAAATAAATTTATTGTTAACTATTCAGGTGTAAATTATACTTAATTTCTTTCAATGAATGTGGTGAAAATCAAGTGATTCAAAAGGGGGAAACATTTTTTAAATAAAATTAAACTGAGGTTTTTGCAAAGTTTTCTGAACTCAGTTTTCTCATTATGTTGTCACCACTGACATAACTCAGGTGGGTTTAAGACGAAACTAAATAAACATCCAGATGTTACCGTCATCATCTGACTCCTCAATGTATTCATGCAGAGAAAACGAGCATCATTGTTTTAAAGATAGTTCTGTTTGTCCCTTTTACAAACATTTTGAGCAGGTAACACCTGATCAGTCTTTGATGGACTCTGGATCTTCTGCCTCCGAGGAGTCCTCTAAAGGTAAACGCAGCATTTCACCTGCACAACAGCTGCAGCAACATCAGTTTTAAGGCTTACCTTTCTCCCCCTTACGCCATCTTAAACTGAGAATACAAAAGCGGCAGACCAACATGCATCACTTAAAATCGACAAAGAGAAATGCATTCCCTCAGGAGTACCGTATTTTCCAGCATATAAGTCGCAGTTTTTTTTTTTTTTTAATAGATTTGTCAGTCCTGCAACTTATACACTGAAGCGATTTATATGCTTCTTTTTTTTTTTCCATATTCATAACGCAATTTTTGGTTGACGCTTTAAATTTCTAAGAACTGCAACAGCGAGTCCTCCCGTGCGCGCTCGCTTCACTCAGCTGGTGCAGGCGGAGGAACACTGGAGAGCTAGTGGCTCCGGCCGTGATGGATGGCGCCACGCTGCCCAGGCGAAATGAAGCCGTTTTGACCATTAAATAAATGCATAATAAACGCGACGGGTCGGCGGTGACATAATAAATGCGACTTATACGCCAAAGCAACTTATAAATGTTATTTTTCTCTTCGTGATGCTTTTTGTTTGACTGATGCGACTTATACTCCGGAGTGACTTATGCGCTGGAAAATACGGCAAACGCCTAAAATGAAGAGTTAAAATAGAGTTTCTAGAGGATCTTTGACTGGATTATTATTACTTCTCGATTCTTTATTTGCAGCTGATGAGTCGGTGCAGGAAACATCCATTACAGAGGAGGAAAACTCCGATGGTATGTTCACAAGTCGTCACAGGACCAAGTTTACATTAAATTGCCTTAAGTTGTATGTTTCCTCCTCACTTTCAGGTTCTGTGGATTTAAAAGCACCGATAGAGTGAAAGTCAGAAAGGAGATGTAGCTTGTGTCTGGACAACTGAACGAGCGCACACCGAGCGCTCCACAGCCCGGCCACAGAGGCAAAAAATAACAAGGCAGAAAGACTTGGTTCATGAAATAATGACAAATCGAAACACTTGTTTTAATGCCAATAAAACACTTTGCGCACATACAGTACAATTTTCATCTGCACTTGCCGAACATTTCTCAAGCAGGCACTTTAAAAAGATTGTTTTCTCATTGGGGGGAAGAATGAACCGAGTGGGAAACGGTGTTCTGTCAGTGGGTTTACACTTGAGGAATGTGTGCAGAATTACACTAAAAACAAAAGACCAACTCACACATCCTACTTTACTGATGTTCAATTCTCAATACTACCAAGCTTTAAAATAACATCTATGTTTATAAAAAATAATTATCTCTTAACTGTTTTATTTCCTGCTCACTCTTTTGAGTGCCTGGAAATGGACACTCCTTAATTGCTATAAACTATCATCAGTTAAAATCCTAACTATACCGTGATAGGTTTTAAATTGTGCAATGTGCGCTGCGCTACAAAGTGCACTGACATGATGTGAACTAAAAGGGCTTCAGAAAGTCACAAATCTGGATCAACACACAGATAAGGGACGTCGAGTCACGCATGCAGCTTGAACTCCCACACGAAAGTCTCGATCCCCGGATTGCACGTCTTAAAATGAAACAGTAACAAGACAAAAAAAAAAAAAAAAAACATGACAAAAGCTCACATGCACAAGGTTAAATAAAACAAAGATAAAAACGCACGTTTAAGAGCGACGGTGACCTTTCTACGCTTCGAGCTCCTCCAGACCCAGCAGCATAATCTTTGCTGTGTTCTGGAAGAGCGCCGCTCGGTTCTGCTGCTCGCCCTTCTTCACCCAGTGGCCGTAGATGCGGAAGGCGCAGCCGTCGATGAGCTTGCGGACGCCGCGGAGGGAGTAAGGATCTCTGGCCAGCACCTCTCGGGTGAGCGGCCGAGCCCGGCGGTATCGGCTGTAGATTCTGATGCAGGCGAGCACGCTCACTATTAAAACCTGGAGGAGACAAAACGGGAAAAGTGGCCGTTATTTTACTTTTACACACTCGTCTGGAGGTCGTAGGGAGTTAAACTAGGCCCAACAATTCAGATCACCCTGAATGTCTTCCTGGGACTGAAGAGGCGCGCGCCCTCCTTCTGGTACAGTCTGAAGAAAGGATGCGCTAAAGCTTGTTCTGCTGTGAGACGGGCAGCTGGATCCAACACCAACAGCCTGGAAATCTGACACAACAGAAACAAGATCATAAACGTGATGAGTCTTGAACACACGGGCACTAAAATGTACTAAAATAAAAACACCTCCGCCTCCTGTGATGTCACTTTTCAACTAAAGTGATCTCACGTTGAGACTCGAGGGAATCGTAGCTGTTTTGGTCAAACTTTATGCGCAGTTTTGTAGCTTAATGATTTTTCACATAGTCCTAGTGCTTGGAGTGCATGTTGTGAATGACTCTACTACCACACCCAATTTTTATGATATTTTGCTAACAGACCGAGTTGATTGCAATGCTTGACACAACTGCACCAAAAACAACTGCTTTGTGTTTTAATGAAAATAAATAAAAACTGAGGGTCCTGGTCATAAAAAGTATATTTAATATATAGATCAGATTTGTGGAGTCAAATCCAAATTAAAAGAAGTGGCGTCTCTCTGTCCAGGTACATTTGATGTAATCCACATGCCATCGGAGCTAAAAATTAAAGATTCCAATTTAACGACTTCATTTGCGTCACCTAACAGAAATAATCCAGAACTGCAACAAACAGAATGAATGCATGAGAAACAAAGGTTGATGAAAGAAGCAATGAATGAATGAACATACAATATAAAGATGTAACTAAATGCGTTTTAAAACTTAAAAACTGAAATTTTGGATATGAAGACTTTTGACTGCAGAAACGGTATCAAAAAAGATTAAGAGCTTTAACTTAAGCCAAGAGCTAAAAACCACAAAACATTATCTTTAAACATTATCTTTATGCTTTCCTCCCTGCTCCGTCCCGCTGTTAGAGTTTGTCAGGGTTCCCAGCATTTCATGAAAACAAATGTTGATTTTTCCCTGAGTAAATCCTGAAATTCAGAACCACAGAAAGTACACTGTAGCCTACTGTCCGTGCATATGGCAATCATTCCTAATATTTAATTAAACTGCATAACATCAGAAACTAAAAAGCCACCATAGCCAGTCAGTACTACTTCCACATGGACTCCATGTTACTAGAATACTAGCATTAATGCACGCAACACGTCAAAATCTCAGAGCAGGTCAGTGTCCTCGAGTTTTCCCACATTTCTGATGTTTGTCTCAGTTTCCCTGTCTGGAAAATGTGAAAGTCTATTTTCAGGTTCATCCTGATTTCCAGAGTCACTGGGAACCCTGGTTTGTATTGAGTTTAAAATGTTATTTCTTTTCCTAAAATCACATCAAACACGCCTTGATGCGTGTTTCCTGGTGAAACTTTATTATCACCTCCTGCTGAAAGTGGGGCAACAATGTATGTGTGCACGTCTAAAACTTTTACACACCACTGTAGAAAGGCCTTTAAAACACTGACGTGTTAAGATGTGAAAACTTGATTATTAGACGGACTTTGAGCTCACCAAGTCCTTCACGGTGTCGGATCGGTCGTCCCACTCGGGGGAGCTGAACTGATAGCGGCCCTCCATGATCATTCTCAGCATCAGCATCTGTTTACGGTGCCAGAACGGCGGCAGGCCGGCCAGCAGGGTGAAGAGGATGACTCCACACGCCCAGCTAACAAACACAGTGGGGAAAAAGGGAAGCAGTGAGGACAACATGCAGGAGTTCTTAAATCAGATAAGTCATGTAAAAGTGGGACAGACTTACAGATCAACCTCTCTGCCGTAGCCTGGATGCAATTCATCCATGGAGCATTTTAGTATTTCTGGAGCCAGATACCCAGGGGTTCCACAGAGCTCTGATTCAAACCAAAGACGGGTTTAAAGCACGACTATTCACATTCCTGTTGACCTAACAGACCTGCAGCCGTACCTCTCAGCTTCTGACCGGGTTGCAGCTGCACAGAGAAACCAAAGTCAGACAGCTTAATGTGGCCCTGATCATCCAGCAGAATGTTCTCGGGCTTCAGATCTCGGTGAACGATGTTCAGAGAGTGCAAATACTGCACAGCCTCCAGCAGGGCACGCATTATATACCTGCAAAGAAATGGAAAAACACAGATTTTACCTCTGCACCATCACAGTGATCACCGTGGATCAGGAAACTAGTTTCATTTTATTGTAATGCTTCCATTAAAACACCTTTATGTAAACATTTTCATTATTAGACATTCATATCCATCTATCAGTGCAGAGAATAACTTTACCGTATTTTTCGGACTATAAGGCACACAGCATTATAAGGCTCATTAAGCGAAACAAAACAGATAATTAAAACTTTATTCAACTCATTCACAATAACCACATTAAATAGGTTTGAGGCCAGAAAGCACAACCAGAATGAATACATAAGGTGCACCTGATTATAAGACTCACTGTTGATTTTTGAGAAAATGTAAGGATTATAAGTGCGCCTTATAGTCCGAAAAATACGGTAAATGTTTTTGTATTTTTACGATGGAAATAAAAACAGCTAATTTACATCAAGTCACTCAACAAAGATTTTCAAAAAACAGAAGTCCACCATTCAGTTAAAGTGTAAAAAAAAAAAAAAAAGTCTAAATTTAAAGCTTCTACTGAATTCCTTTTTTATGTTTGATACAAAGCACCATTAAAAATCCTTAATGTTTTGGAGGAAACGCTGATTTGGAGCAACGTTGCATCTTTTCAGCAGCAGACTTGTCGTTTTTTAACGAGACGATGTCGAACAAGATTCTGCACATATTAGAGCTTAGCTGGACTGCATGCTTTGAAATGAAAAGGACTAAAAGGAGCCTGCAAACTGCTGAGCAGCTGAAAAGTTGTGATGCAAGAAGGCAAAACAAAAGAAAGTGTTGCAGCACTGTGGCAAATACACGCCCGCCTCTTGCCTTTGTTTGTATAAAACTCACAAAGGGCAGCTACATTTAACACAATACATTTTAAAAGTTTAACAAAATATTAATTGCCTCTGCACTATATCAAAGTAAAAAGATTATTTCAATTATTTGAAAATCCCTACATTTTGTTTTTCACTACATTCTATTGGAAGTTGCAGCATTATCTAACAAACATGATCAAACTGCCTAAATTAAAGAGTGACTGGAACACGCAGATGTTAAAGCTCACCTGGTCTCCTTTTCACTCAAGGTAACTTTTTCTGTGAGGTAATCGAACAGCTCTCCTCGCCTCATGCTGGGAGAGAGAAGACAAAGATGAGTGTCATTCTGAAACGTTTACAATGACTGAACAATGCGTCCCGAGTTCTTTTTCTTCATACTCACAGGTCAAACACTAAAAATATGAACGTTGTGGACTCGTAGGAATCAATCAGAGTGACTAAAAGAAACGTAAAACAGTGTCAAGAATTCATAACCAGAAATAAATCAAAGAATTCCTGCATTTCGTAAAGAGCAGAGCTGCAACCTACTGATGGAGGAGTGCCCCTTCACCATGTTGAGGACCTGGATCTCCTTCAGTGTGGAGGTCCTCACCTCCTCCAGCTGCTGGACTGTCATCTTCTCCGCTGTGATCTCGATTATCTTCACTGCCAGCTCTTGGCCTGTGTGTCTGTGCACACACCTGCGTACCACACTGCTCACACCTCTGGGCCAGCACAGACATTCAAAAGAACAGCATGTTCTCATCAGCTCCAGGCAGGACAGAGGCAGGCTGTCAGCACGCTGCTTCACTGGGACTTACCTGCCAATCACCTCTTTAGGGTCATACTTCTGGTAAAACTCCTTAGCTCCCACCCAGTCAGGCAGTTCATCTCCAACAACAATGTCCTTGGTCATGACGGTGAATCTACAGAAACAAACAGAGTCACGTGACGTCAGAGTACAGCTTGTTCACCGGGTACTAAGCTAACTCCTGATAAGGGGGTTCTTTTTCGTTTTCGTTTTAAATCTAATAAGCTGACTACACCCGGGACTTGTCCAGAAGCTAACAGAGCATTCTTCCGTTTTAAAATATTTAAGAAATATGCTTTTTAACTTCATTACAGTAAGGTTGAAGAGTCTTTCGGCAGTGTTGAACCGGCAGGTTCGCTAACCGAACAGGAAGCCACTCACCGAACAGAAGAAGAAGGACACGGAAAGGGAAACGGAGTCAGTTTAACAAAGACATTTCATAGCTCAGGGGTTTTTGTTTTGTTTTTTATTATTGTGGAGCCATTCCGAAAATTCCTGTTCGTGAAGCCCCGCGAGCTCTGCTTGCTTTCTGGTCAAGTCAAGTTCCTTCGAAGTCGTTTAGACCGGTTAATGTTTCAACACTGCCCCCCAGAGGTCGGATAAGGATTTGCAAGGTGTATTTGTACCTAAAAGTGTACTTGCATTGACAAAGCGAATTACTCGATGTTTTTTTATTTATTTATACGCAGTGTTTCACAGTAGTTAAATCACGACATTATATTTGATATTGTCTTATTTTTTAACTAGGTATTTTAGTGGAAAAACCTTATATACAGTTTAAGCAGTAGGTGGCAACAGTGTTCCCGAGTCTCAATTAAAAACGTAGAAGAAGAATCGTGACGCTGTTTCCTGTTGCGTCTCCGTCCATGTTCTGAATTATATTTTCAGTCGCTTCTTGCTAAGGTGTGTAAAGTTATCGCTTTTCATTCAGTAAATTTGGCTCAATATGAAATGTCGAAACAAAAGGTGTAATGGTGTGCAGACGATGAAGCCATAATCGCACAAATGATTAATTGTGCTGTACAACGAGCGCTGTGTGGCTAACCGGGCGTTAGCATTAGCTTAGTGTTGATTTGCAAAAGACTGAAATCTGTGGCATTTTAAGACGGTGAGTAATACAGTAAAGAGTTATTTTACACATCCAAGAACACGTAGCTCAAAATCAGTGGTTATCTCGTTTGAAAGTGACGTCCATGCTGCTTTTAGGTTTCCTCAAATAAAATGGTGTTGAATTATATGTGCAGACTAACGCAATGCCACATGAATGCAAAGAATAAATGTGCTTTTTTTTTCTATAGGGTAAGGAAATATGTCGGGTGCTGTGGGAGGAAAGCGTCCCTCAGGAGGTGACAGTCCTCCTGGCCCACCTGAGAAGAAGAGCAAGAAAGAGGAGAAGACCACCACGACACTCATTGAACCAATACGCATAGCTGGAGTCTCCTCGACGGTCAGTTTATTGTTTGCGCACAATAGAGAGTTGGTAGCGCGTTTACTGTTGAGGAAATTTGCCAATCGGCACTCACTCAAAGTCTAAAACGTTTCTTTTCTCATGTATGCGCAGGAAGAAATGGACATGAAAGTTCTCCAGTTCAAGAACAAGAAGTTGTGTGAGCGCCTGGAGCAGAGGCAGGCAATGGAAGATGAGTTACGAGAGAAAATCGAGAAGCTGGAGAAGAGACAAGCCACTGATGACACCACCCTCATGATTGTTAATCACTACTGGTCGCAGGTCAGTTCAGTGCTTTGAAAAGTTTTAAACAACTCCTAAATTTTGCATTTAGCTTTCAAGGGAGTCGGATGCTTGTTTTGTTATTTTAGGTGATTGTAAGTAATCCAGCTTCTGGCTTTCTAAAGATCTTTTGAAAGTCTTTCTTTGGACATTGAATGCTGTTTTATTCATTTTCTGTTCAGTCTTTGTACCCGACCAAGACAGCTTGTTTTGTGGTGTGTGCTTAGAAAGTAAGTAAAGTGTGCAAGTCATGTATTTAAGAATGTCAAAACAAAATCCAACATAGACGTTGTGATTTTTCAGTTGCTCATCTAGACCAAGCTTTCATCTGAAAGCTCTTTGGGAATCATCTTGTTATTGTTAAGATTCTATATTTTGTGTTTTGATTTAGGTGTTTTTCATAAATTCAACTAAAGAAACGATAAATTAGTCCTTTCTGACAAGCTGCTGAAATATTAAAAATAGATTATTTGAAAAGTTTATTTATCAACAAAACTAGCTTGTCTCGTTCGTTTGAGCATATACCTGAACATTTGGTCAAAGTTAAGCAACCTAAGAATAATAAATGCATATATATCTTAAAATAATCAGTTACAGTGTTGAAAATGAGTATGACATCTAGATTACAACTTTGAAGAATGCTTAGTTTAGGACTGTTCAGTTTTGTAAATCCTATTTTCATTTGGATCTAGATTAAAAATGTTTGTAACATAAACTCTAAGGCCAACTACAGTTATAGCAAAAATAAAAATTATCCACCTTTCTACAAGCTTGCACTTTGCCCCTTCTGTGGAAGAATCATAGGATTGATTGCTGTAAAGAGGTGACAAATTGTTGAGTCTATGCTTTAAAAAAAAATCAAAACAATCAAGAGAAAGTCTAAAACTAGGTAACAATTTGTTCTAAATATTAAAGCTTTGTTAAACTTTCTTCTCTTTAATTTACAGTTGGAAGAGAGTGTAAATGTTCTGCGCAAATGTATCGAGCCAGAAGCACCAGGGTCCTCTGTACCAGGGTCCTCTGCACCAGCACCACCCCCAGACACCACACCAGTAGAAAACAATGGTGTCAGTCTGGCTTTGCCAACCTCTGCAGTGCTTCCTCCTCCAGTACCAGAGGGCCAGAGTGAGAGTGAGCAGACAGAACCACGGTCGCTGCAAGAGGAGCAACAGGAAAACCATCAGGAGGAGCAGCACCCTCCTCCCCCCTCTGGGTCAGATGAGTTAATGACACCAACAGAACCACCGCAGGATTCAAAAACAGGTTAGCAGCATGTTTGTGACAAAGCTTTCTGACTTGACATGTCACTGACATTTATTACTGTGATCTGACTTGATTAATCTTTACAAACTACATTAATGGTGGTGTTTCTGGGCTGAATTCACAGTAACAGTCTTAGTTTTGGATAACCGGATAATTGTGTTTATCTAGGAGTTGGTTGTACCAACTCAAATTATCTGGATAGAAAATAGACCGTATAATGCCTCGGCACAGATATTCATGTTGTAGAATTTTAACCTTGTTATTTATTTTATCTCTTAATTAGCTTTGTGATTTATATTATGTGCAGACACATCACCGCTGCCCCCTCCCCTAAGTGAAAATGCTAAGGGTTTTTTGGCCACTCTGGAGCAGAGCAGCGAGGAGGAGCTATCCTTACACCTCCAGGATCGCATGCAGTTTAGCAAAGAAGCCGTTGCCCATTTGGTGCGTGTTTTTGACAGGCTGCACAGTCGTATCGATGACATGTGCAAGGCGGTTCAGGCTGTAGGTAACTATCAATATTCCTTTGGTGCTGACACATTTAAATAACTCATTCAGTTAAAGAAAAACAATATGTCAATTTTTAATTATTAATAACTGACCTAGTCTTTATTTCTGTTGTCATGCACACGTTAAATATGAGCAGGGGTTTTGACAGATGCTTGTCATTTAAACGTTTTGTAATGATCTTGTTCTTCATGTGTAGTATGTAAGAATGACAGCCAGTCTGATCTGAAACACACGCTGCTGGAAGAGAACAACCGACTCCGAGATCTCGCCACCCTGCTGCAGGGACGACACCACAAGATGTCCATGGAGGTACATTAGACTCTGAATTTGTGTTGATGTGTATGAGTTTTTGTCATTGTAGATTTGTGTTGTGTGAACCCAAATAATTATAAAGTTATACATGCTCTTTGTGGTTATATGTCAGTGATGAAATGATGATTATTGTGTCTTGCTTTCTTTCAGTATAATGAGTTGGTGGACAAAGTGACCAGTGCAGAAACTAAGGTGTCTGAGATGGAGACGACGGTGGAGGACCTTCAGTGGGACATAGAGAAACTCCGCAACAGGGAGCAGAAGCTTAACAAACACCTGGCAGAAGCCATGGAGCAGGTGTGTTTGCATGTGTTTAAAATGTGTTTCTCTGCTGCTATCTCCTGTGAGTTTATGCACTTTTTGTCTGTTCAAAGACCCTGGGTCTATGGGTTCCAAAATTTGGCCTGGAAGTGGGCCAGACCGTCCAGTGCAAAGACCCCAAACCTGTGCTGGAACCCAGGCTGGGCCGACCTAGGCCAGGCAGGGGTCTTGCAGTGTAAAAGGGTTACTAGATAGTAGTCCTCTGTTCCACACAGAGGGCTGCGGTAGCTCGATGGTTGTGTCAGGAAGGGCATCTGGCTTTAAAACTATTTCCTTCATGTGAGTTTGCTCACTGTGGTGAACCCTGAAAAAGCAAGCAGCCAAAAAAAGAAGAGTAAACTTTTATCACTTGTTATTAAAATGATTGAAATCCTTTCATAATTATCTACAAATCATCAAAGAAATACAAGAAAACAACCGTCTTTGTCTTAAAATGCTGGTGGATTAACTTCAAGATAATTTTCTTGGAGCTACCAATGTGCTAGTCAGCATATTTAATGCCTCATTTTTGTAAAATATATGAGTAGCAGCGGAACGGTGGCTCAGTTGGTAGAGCTGTTGCCTCTCAGTGAGAAGGTCACCAGATCAAATCCCGGCCAGGGGGCCATTCTGGGGAGTTTGCGTGTTCTCTCCGTGCATGCGTGGGTTTTCTCCGGGTACTCTGGTTTCCTCCCACAGACCAAAAACATGCATGTTAGGCTGATTGGTAACTAAATTGTTGCTAGGTGAGAGTGAGAGAATGAATGGTTGTTTGTCTCTGTGTCCCTGTGATGGACTGGAGACCTGTCCAGGTGTCCCCCGCCTCTTGCACAGTGACTGCTGAATATGGGCACCAGTGACCCAGAAAGGAAGCAGCGGGTAAAGATAATGGATGGATATATAAGTAGCACGTTGCCGGTGTAATCACTTTATTTAAAGGTATGTATTGGTGTTTGTGTAAAACAGCTGGAGTTTGAAATAGGCTGATGTTAGTACTCATATCAGTTTGAAGAGGGTTTATATCATAACAGT